GTGTTTGGTGTGGCCGTGGAAGACTGGGTCCTTGGTGAGATGAATGGTGCTCTCGTTGTCACACCAAAGCGTTGGGGTTGGTTGAGGATACCCGAGTTCACCCAGCAGGAAGGAGAGCCAATGGGCCTCCTGGGCAGCCGTGGTCCCGGCATACAGCTCTGCCTCACTGGTCGACAGGGAGACTGAGGATGAACGAGTGGAGCGCCAACTCACAACCCCGCTGCCAAGGGTAAAGCAATACCCCTGAGAAGAGAGCCGATCACTTTGGCCATCAGCGTATGATGACTCACTGTACCCCTCAAGGCGAACAGGTGACAAGCCGCCAAGAGTGAGCACATAATCCTGAGTGCCTTTGAGATAGCGAAGGACCCGCTTGGCGGCAGAACAGTGGTGGCGAGTGAAGCAACCAGGTGCAACGTAGAGAGATAGTACACTGACTCGGTAGGCCAAGTCTGGCCGAGTGCACATCATCGCGTACATGAGGGATCCAACAAGCTCGGGGTATGGCTCATCACATGGCTCAGGTGAGGGAACAGAGGGTGCAGTGAGCTAGTGCTGCAGAGAGACTGGGGTAGGCATTGGTGTTGCTTGCTGCAACTTGAACCGCGTCAAGACGTTGTTGATGTGAAACTGCTGCGAAAGGGTGATGGTGCGGGCCGCGCGATCACGAGTGATTTCCATGCCCAGATAGTTTGTCAGCTGCCCAAGATCCTTCATGGCCAGCTTCTCACCATGTGCGGTTTTGACTGCTCCCAACTCAGCCTGATCCTTGGTGACAAGGATCATGTCATTGACATAAACCAAGATGAAGAAGCAGGATGGTGTTGCGCGGATGAAGAGGCTGGGGTCGGAGGTGGATGGGTGAAAGTCGAGGGACCCTAAGGTGCTCTTGAGCTTGTTGTGCCATTCTCGGGGTGCTTGTTTGAGGCCATACACTGGCCGATTCGGCTTCCATACAGTGCATGTAGGGAAGGGAGCTGGAAATCCATAGTGCATGTAGATGTCCTCTCAAAGGACCCCTTGAATAAATGCGAATGACACATCCATGCAATCAACCTCCATGTCATCTCGAGCGGCAACATCGAGAAGGGTGCCTAGTGTGGGGGGGTTGGCGGTGGGAGAGAAAGTCTCAAAGAAATACAGTCCTTGCTTTAGGGTAAATCCCTTGGCACAGTACTGGGCTTTGAAGACAGGGAGTTCGTCTGGAAGTTGTTTCACACGGAAAACCCATTTGCCCTTCACGATGTTGATGCCGGAGGGAGGAGAAACATCTGTGAAAGTTTTTGTGTGAATGAAGGCCTCACATTCTGCGACAATGGCCTCCAACCACTGGGCAGCGTAAGGACAAGAACTGCTTCAGCATAGGTGAGAGGTGTGGGGATGGAGGGTTTGTTGGAGAAATTGAGGGTGGAAGAGTCTGCGATGTTTGGAAAGAGGAAGCAGAGCGCGTGTATGGCTGAGTCGATCTCAATCAATTCCTCATGTCTATCTTCAAGGAGGGAGGGCATGAGAGAATAATCACCCCCAACAGGAGGAGGATTGAGGGAGTCTTGAACGGATAGGGAGAGCGGCTTTGGAGCTTTGTGAGAGCGGTTGCGAGAGGCGATGGGGGAGGGAGGCGGAGCTGGAGGAGGAGAAGCGGTAGGTGTAGTGGGAGTGGGAGCAAGAGCAGGAGTGGGAGCAAGAGCAGGAGCGAGAGCTGGAGCAGGAGCAGGAGGACGACGATGGTAGGTTTAAAGAGGAGGAGGCTTGGAAGGAGGAGTGGGAGTAAGAGCAGGAGCTAGAACGGGAGGAGAGGAAAGAGGGGGAGCCGGTGGTGGAGGGGAGGGGGAGGGAAGGAGCGGAATGGGATACCAGGGGTGTAGCGCACTGCATTGATGGATGCTTGGGCTGCGAGATCCTTTAAGCAGAAAGAAGGGCAGATGCAACTTTCTCGAAAGTGAACTCCTTGGTGGGGAGCTGCTTGAGCATGGAACTGGTAACATTGTAGGCCGGGGTAAGTCGTACGAGTAGCCCAGCTGCAGGTGCCTGTTCGGGGAAAGTAATCCCAATGTCTTTTGAGTTCCTCATGGATGTTGCGGATTTCAGAGATATAGTCCGCCATGCCAAGGCATTCCTCAAGTCGGACCCCGAACATTCGAGGAATGAGGATGGCAACATCGATTGCTGTCTTGTCATGGAAACGGTCCTGGAGGTACTTCCAAATGTCATGCGCGGAGCGAAAGGTGCGGTAGGATTTGACAAGCTCAACCGGAGTGGTGGTGATGATAACCCTAATAACTGCTGCATCCGCCTGCTCCCACATACTGAAATAAGTCTCATACTTGATGGTCTTAGCTTCAAAAGCGGCTTTGTCTGCGGCAGTGGCTCCTTCGGCAAGAGGATCGGGAGGGAGAGGCATCTTTCCCTTGCCGTGGGTGAGGAGGATATCTTTGAGGCAAATCCCCTTCAGTTCCGCACTAAGGAGGTGCTTCTCCACCCCATAGCACCATTCCCCAAAGTTGGTGCTCGTGCCGTTGGGAGCGAGATTGAGAAGGATGAGGTTTCCGATGAGGGTGGAGGATGAAGTCATCATTTGCGCGGAGCGGCTATTTTGAAAATTGATGAAGGCCGAAATACGGACAAACGCGATTTCGACAATAAGATCACGAATCCTGTTCTACTGCTCAGCTTCGCCGATGCCCCCCCTTTCTGCTACGCTGCTGCCCTATTCCGCTGTGCCGCTGACCTGTTCCGCTGCGCCGCTGAACCAGTTCTGCTGCGCCGCTGAACCTGTTCCGCTGCGCCGCTGAACCTGTTCCGTTGCACCGCTGAACCTGTTCCGCTGCGCCGCTGAACCTGTTCTGCTGCGCCAATGCATCTGTTCTGCTGCGCCGATGTACCTGTTCTACTGCGCCGATGTACCTGCTCTGCTGCTCGAAGTTAAAAATGTGAAAACAAGAAATTCGCCACGGTAGATTCAAGATCCAGAACCTTACTTGAGAGAAATTGAGGACGGAAAGCGCCTCCGTTGAAATCGGAGAGGCGCAAAGACAGAATCGGAATGCACTTTTGACCAGCGCGAAGAACCGAGGAGTGAAAACGCTTAAGCGAAGAAGCCGGAAGTCGAACGAGAAGGAGCCAAGAGGAAGGGAACCATCGTGACGCCAAGGATCGGATTCTACGTGAGCGGAATTTACTAGCTCGATACCATGATAGAATTGGAGCTTAACTGATTGATTAGAATAGAAGGCACTAGGCCTTAAGTACAAACAAGGTTGGGTTGGGCAAGGCTACGGAAAGGATGGGATGGGAATCCAAGCAAATCTCCAATGGTGAGTTGGCAGATTTGTTGGATTATGGGGGGAATCCCAACCGGATAGGATTGGGATTACAAATCTACACCCAACCCACAAATAACCTACAGCATATAGAATAGAATACACAAAGTGTTGACAGCCTATTTCTAACAATGTGTGCACGCACTGCGTGCGCTGCACCCCCCAGCTCCAATGCACCTCAACCTAACCCCATTTTTTTCCCTTGAACCCGCACGCACTTCCCTTAAATCCCGCCACACCCTTCCCCGCTCCTTGTTTCCCTTTGTTGTCCCCCTCCCCCCTCCCCCTCCCCCCCCCCCCTTCCCTTTCCCCCAGGCAAAGCGCAGTCCCAGTGCAGCAGAGCCAATGGCACGGCAGCACCCCCACCACGTGGCGCTCATTGCTGAGCGCTTCCTGGAGGCTTTTGAGTCGATTCAAGACTCCAACAAGTCCCCTAACCCCTCCCGCCCTCTCCCTTCCTCCCCTTTCCCCTTCCCCCAAGCCAAGCGCAGTCCAGAGCGGCAGAACTGGTGACAGTTGCAGCTCGCCAACACGGTTTTGTGACCCCCCCCTCCACCACACTACGATTCCCTATCCCCCCCCCCCCCCTCCCTCTCCACCCACTCACACCCCTCTCCCCCACACACCCCGCTCCCTCTCCCCTTACTCAGGTGAAGCGCAGTCCCAGGGCAGCAGTGCCAGTGGCGGATGCAGCGCGGCAGCACCCCCACCACGTGGCACTCATTGCTGAGGGCTTCCTGGAGGCTCGCAGCGTGCTGCACCGTGCCCCATCGCCCAATGAGGGCCCGCCACATGGCGCACAGGCGGTGCCCCCCTCTCTTGGTGGTAGTGGTGGAGGAGGAGGGCCCAGGGCAGGGGCAGGTGGAGGGTCAGCCGTGGCGATGGCTGGTTCTGTAGGTATGGGTGGGGCAGGCATGGGTGTGGCCGGCATGGGTGGGGCAGGCATGGGTGGCTTTGGTTTTGGCAGAATTCTGGTTTGGCATGAAGGCAGCTTGCTTGGTCTGGTCACAGTGGAGTGCGCTTTTCAACATATGCTCCCAGGCTCCTCCAGAAGTGATTGTTGCGAGCGAATCTCACGTTGTTTGTTCGTCTCTGCACCCCATAGGGCGATTGCCACAACAACTGGGGGTGCCGATGGGTCAGCAGGCTAAGAAGGTGGGTGGTCCGTTTGAGTGCCTTGCTTGCATGTTGACGTTGATTCTCAGCTTAGCGTACCATGCAAGGCGATGGCATGCACATACGCTCGTTCATACCCATGCCCACACACGCTCATTCATACCCATGCCCACACACACTCGTTCATACCTATGCCCACACACGCTCGTTCATACCCATGCCCACACCCGCTCATTCATACCCATGCCTACACTTGCCCTCTCCCCCCTTCCCCCAAATACCACAAACTCAAACACACATGCCACCTACCCACCCATGCACCTACTGACACACGTGCTCGGGACGCATAGTGCATGCATAGCATGTATGCATGTGCAATAGTCAAATGACCAGTTTGGTTCGAACTGACTTGGAGTTGCAGGTTAGCCGGATTGATCCAAACTGGTTCAGGTCAAATCAGTTGGGGCCAAGCCTTCCAGGCCGGTTTGAGCCTCGATCAAATGGGCGGAATTGCAATTGGTCTGGTCAGACGCAACCGACTCACATTTCTCCTTCGAGTAGCTTTTACGTTTTCTTCATCATCAGTTGCGGGCTTTGTTTGCGAAACACTTGCGCTGGCATTCCCGACGGGGCATGTACGACACACACACACACACACACATACACACACACATACACACACACACACACACATACACATACACACACACACATACACACACACACACACACACATACACACACACACATACACACACACACACTCACACACACACACACACACATACACACAGACACACAGACATACAGACACGCACACCCACACACACATGCATACATACACACACACACACGCACACACGCACACACACACACGCGCGCGCGCGCGCGTACACACACGCATGCCTCTCTGCGCACAGAAATGCTGCGTTTTCTCATTCATCTTTCACTCTCACTCTCCACCATACCCGCCCCACACACCCCATAGCAGAAGCCCATGTATCCTGCAGCACCACAGCAACCCCTTGCCTGTCCTGCTGCCCCCTCTCCCTCCCCCTCACAATTCTTGCGTGCACACCAGCCCCCACTGGCTGCTGCAGCGGGGGGAGGTGTGCCAGTGGGAGTGGTCTAGGTTTCAAGCACAATTTGTATAGTTCATCTGCTCTGGCGGACTTAAGTTTATGGCTCATATGAGAGCCCAGACAAGTCATATATCGTCATATGGTTTATCAGGAATCTTTGTCTGCTCTAGCAAAAATCGCGTATGATTTCGTCTGAAAGTGCCAAAATAGCCTAGTTGGCCATAGGAGCAGCGAAATATTGTTTGTACAGGCACACGTAATGAATTCGGCGAGATGGCATGGGGGTAAATTTTGGATTTTTTTCTGCCAGCGCATTCTGCATCTGCCTCAGGTGCTACCACGCATCTGTCTGGTAGTTATTGTCGGCACCGCTGCCATGTTGTTGCCCCCCCCCCTCGCTGGCAATGTGCAAGTCGGTGCACAACAAACAAAGCATGCACCCACCCTCGCACTTGCGTGAAACCCTCGTGAGAGTCGCGCGGTTCGTGACGTGATGGTCCCTTCCTTTCTTTTCCAATCCTTTCTTTGACAACCTTGTTCTGCATTTCAATCCTTGACGCCTAGCCCGTGGCTCACCTCTCTTCCCATTAGCTTGTTCCCGTCCCGTCTAGAGTGCCCTGTTGTTACTGCCTCATGTGATACACCACACATGCAATCTGAGCATGGCCCCCTCGAGTCAACTGATAGCGCTAGGCGTGGTTCTCCCGGGTTACCTGAGTCACCTCGGATTACTACGTTAGATTTTTTAACTCGTAATAACTTCGGCTACGATTTCTGTGGCCACCACTGCCGCAGTAGAGAGGCCTCCGCCTGTAATTCCTTCCCCCAACGTCATCACATCCTGCAACAACGAGCCTCTTATCCCCTTGCAACCCAAGTCAGAGACGGCTGAGACTTCAACCCAGCCTAACCCGGCTGATGCTGAGTCTGCGCCGCCGCCCGTTTCGGCATCCGTGGCTACAACTCTACCTGCCATTTCGGTTTCGCGCATTAGCAGTGGGAAAGGCGAATATAAATAGCGAATATTGAGGTGTCCCACTGCAGGTGTCCCCCCAGCTACCGTCCCCCGCTTTAGCACACCTCGTCCAGGCCCATCAAACCCCGCGGACGCCACCGACAATGGCAAGCAGCCACGCGCGTTGACCGTCGAGTAGTGGCAGCAGAAGGCAAAGGAGAAATGGTTGCAGCACTTCCCTTGGCTCATCATCTCGCAGACCTCATGGGGTCAACCCTGCATGAGGTGTTCCATCTGCATGGTGCACGGAGACCCCAGCTACCAGTACGGCCGCGACGGGGAGGGTAGGCTAGACATTCAACGCCAGACTATGAGGAAACATCAACATTCAATCAAGCATGAGGCGGCAGTGGATCGCCAAGAGCTGCGAGACGGCAAGATCGCTGCTCAGAAGTCAATTGTCGACTTCGAGAATGGTGAGTCCGACACCAAGCGACTGGCTAAACTAATGGCAGCTATCATATTTATTTGCAGAAGCGACTCACCCATTGTGTTGTTTGTGACTTTGGTCCAGTTTATGGCAGAGATGGACACGCCCGACATGCCTGTGAAGGAAACCGGCACTTACTACAGCGAGTAAATACTCATTTTTAAGGGCACGTTGTTTCTAAAACCCACTGTACTAATTACATTCTTGCTGATCCTTGCAGGTACGGGTTTGCGTAGTTGGTTGAGACACTCGTCATCTACCTCCGTGCTCAAAAGATGAAGCACATCCGGGACAGTCCTTACCTGGCCATACGATTGGACGAGAGCACGGACCGTCGGCGCGGGAAGCACCTTATCGTCTACTTGTCGTTCCTCTGCAACAACACGTCCGTCACTGAATTTTACGCGCACCTAACCGTTGAGCAGTCTGATGCTGCCTCAGTGCAGGCAGTCCTTCTAACCCACCTAGAGTCTACCTGGATTGACCTTGAGCGCATCAGTGGCATCAGCACTGACGGTGCAAGCGTCATGGTTGGTTTTTAGCTGGGCCTGGTGGCACGCCTTCGAACACGGATTCCACACCTCGCCGGGTTTCACTGCATCGCGCACACGTTTGTACACAACGATTTTTATGCTTGCCATTTATGTACTTCATGTATATTAACTTATTCCCTTTTTTTATTTGTTTCAGGGAGCGTTCGCAGCAAAGGATGTAGCTGAGGCCTACCCTGACCTTGAAATCATTGACCATGTCCGTTCCTTGACGGAGCTCCTTGGACGGTTGAACAACGTCCACTCACGCTTCAGAGAGCCGCAGGAGGTGCTCTGCGAAACCAATCTGGAGTTGCAGGGCATCCACTACGTTCGGTGGCTTTCACGTGGTCAGGCGGTTCAGCATCTGGCTGACAACCTTCCAACGGCTATAATATTGTTGTACGAGAAGGACGAGGTGTCGTACAACCTGGTAACCAGCTTGAAATTCCATTTCCTTCTCTTTTTCTTGGATGATGTGTTCAAGGAGCTCAAAGCACTCAACCGCAAGTTCCAGCGATGACAGGGAAGGGTTTCGCCTCTTGTTGTTCCGCTGGTGGTATTGTTTAACTAAACTGATTATACTAAATATTGACCTTTGTATGCCTATCCAATACCTCATGTATGTGTGGCATGTCGATGTGACGCACGTGCTGCAGATGGTGGACAACACTCAGCTCACCCTCCGCAACCGTTACCTGAGCGACGCGGACAACTTCGGGGATGGGAGCAACGAGCTGTGTGCCTTCCTGTCGAAGCATGGCTTGTTCGCAAAGAGGCAAGTGAAGGTGACGGGCACCTCGAACGGGATGCCGACTACTCACGAGTACACTCTGCACGAACAAAAGATAGTGGGTCAACTTTCTGGCGGGAGCCTGGACGACTGCATCGCACTGGCGAAGGCCTACGTGAAGGAGCTGCTGGAGTGCTTGAAGGATCTGGGCTCTCTCGACAGCGCCAAGCTGTTCACGCAGGGGGCGTACCCAAAATCTCACTCGAAGCGGCAGCATAGGTTTTTGCAGTGGCTGGAGGCACTGCGTAACCTGTTTAAATGCAAACCGTCCGACCCTGACACCCTGCCTGGTACTTCTTCATTTATATTTGTGCTTGCTTGAGCTCTCTCTGTCAATTGTTTCTACATATGTTAAGTTGAAAGCGTGGCTGTGTTTACTATCCATCGACAACACTTACCTCTGTTCTCCTTATATCTCTCTTTATCTGTTTCACATCCCGCTCCCAGGAATCAACTGGACGAGGGCACAGAAGGAGATCAGCAACTTTACCACGATCATGTCAACGCATCACCAGGAGCTGAGCTTCCAGGATGGCCTGCAGCAGATGCTCAGCTCGCCCGATTGGTGCACGGCCTACCTCAACCTGATCCGCCTCTAGATGGCGGTCGCTGTTCTACCCCTTAGCATAGTGGAGTGCGAGCGGAGTTTTTCCCGCCAGAACGTCATTAAGAGCTGGCTGCGGGGCAATCTCAATGACGCCAAGCTTGGTGACCTAATTCCCATATCCCTGCTGAAGTACGACCCTGATTAGCCCGCCCTTGTAGCGCTGTGGAGAGGTGCGAAGAAGAGACGTCCAGCCAAGAAGGTGGTGATGGTGCATGCGCAACGGCCCGTGTAATGCAGAAGAAGACCCTTGCGATGCTGGCTGCAAAACAAGCGGCAGCAACAGCAGCAGCAGCAGAGGCGGCCGCTCGTGAAGCAGCAGCTGCTCAAGAAGTAGCCAGGCTAGAAGAGGAGTTGGGCCCCTGGCATAGGAGGGCTGACAGAGGCAAGGAGCAGACGGCTTCAGAGCCCGAAATTGACGATGGGGAAGATTATTCTCATGGTACTGATAGTGAGTAAGGCCTAGATTGTTGTTTATTAGTGCCTAAGACTGTATTACAGTGGGCCTTGGCGTCTGTTGTATAGAATAGTCACTGTAGCTCTGTAGTAACTAATGTCTGACAACTTGAAAATTCATCTGAATAGTAAGATGAAGCTATAAAATATATTTGAGATGAAGACCGTCAAGAATCCTTTGTATGAGGGTCACACATTTTTTTTTAAGCCCCAATACCGTCAGACGGGCTTAAAAGTTAGCAAGAGCCCTGATCCCCTTTGTGTCCCCGGTCGCGCGCCCTCGACTGTTCGCCGTAAAGGGGAGCTGCCCCATGCGGTACCCCATACCCGACTGCTTCAAATCCTCCTCTGTCTTGCCAACCATGGCCACCTCAGGGTGAGTGTAGATGATCCACGGTATCGTGCTGTACTCTTCATACCCTTTCGCCCCCACCAGATTCTCCACACACGCGATTCCTTCCGCCGCCTCGGCCTTGTGAGCCAACATGGGTCCTGAAATAACGTCCCCGATGGCAAAGACGCTGGGCACGGAAGACTGGAACTGTCCATCCACCAATATGCGCCCCTCCTTGTCCTTCTTCACGCCCACCTCGTCCAGCCCCAGCCCGTCGGTGTACGGTACGCGCCCTGTGGCCACCAGCACCACGTCCGCCTCTACCTTGCTGGGCTGCCCGCACCTGGCTGCCTCCACCTACAGCACCACACTACTCCCCGACGCATCCGCAGACACCACTTTCGTGGCCAGCACGAACTTAAAGCCCTGCTTCTCCAGCGCGCGCTGGAAGGTGTGGCGGATCTCGCGGTCCATGCTCCCACCGATGCTGTCCGTGAGCTCCACCACCGTCACCTCCGCACCCAGCCGGCCCCACATCGACCCCAGCTCCAGGCCGATGGCCCCGCCGCCAAGCACCACGAGCTTCTTGAGCACGGCGGGTAGGCTGAGGGCTCCGGTGGACGACACGATCTTCTTCTTGTCGATCTACACACCTGGCAGCGGCTGCACGTCCGACCCCGTGGCAATGATGATGTTCCTTGCGTTGATGATTTTGGTCTCTTCTGGGGAATCCAGCAAGGACACGGCGACATCGTGTGGTGCCACAATGTTGGCAAGGCCCTTGAGGTACGTGACCTTGTTCTTCTTGAGCAGCACCTCTATGTTCTTGGTGAGTGCAGCCACGGCGCTGCTCTTCTGCGCCATCATGGCGGGGAGGTCCACCTCCGTGCCCGCCACCTTCACACCGTGTGCCGCGAACAAATGCTGCGCCTCGTCATACATGTGAGATGACTCCGGCAGTGCCTGCTTGTACGGACAGAAGGAATTGGAGAGGAAGAAGCAATCGTGGTAGGCTGAGAGAAAGGGAGGGCTTTGCCTCTTGGTGATTGGGGAGGGAAAGGAATGAGGGGCTAGGAAGATGGAATATCGGAGGGTTTGGGGGAGAGAGAAGCGATGGGGAGATTCGTCCACGAGTGCATCGTTGGAAAGGTGCATGAGAGAAGGGTTTGAATGCATGGGTGCATGGGTGCATGGGTGCATGGGTGAGGGCATGGGTGCATTGGAGTATGGGTGATTGGGTGGATGGGTGCATGGGAGCAGGGCTGCATGGATGCATGGGTGCATAGAATCATGGAAGCATGGGTGAGTGCATGGGAGCATGGGTGCATGGGAGCATGGCGAGATGGGAGCATGGGTGAATGAGTGCAAAGTCCATGGGTACGAGAGCATGGGTGCATGGGAGCGTGGGTGTGTGGGAGCAGGGGTGCATGGGTGCGAGCATGGGTGCATAGTAGTATGGGCGAATGGGTGGATGAGAGAATGAGAGCAGGGGTGCATAGGTGCATGGTGGCACGGGAGCATGGATGCATGGGTGAATAGAGGCATGGGAACATGGGTGCATACGAGCATGACCATGGTTGCATGGGTGCATGGAAGCATGGGTGCATAGGAGCATGAGTGCATGGGAGTAGGGGAGCAGGAGAGCATGGGTGCATCATGGGAGCGTGGCTGCATGGATGCAAGGTGAGCTTGTGAGCCTTAAGGGGTGGAAAACAAACAGTTGATGAGGGTAGAGGGAAAAAAAGTGAGGCACTGCATTCATCCACGCGGTTACCAAACTCCCATGAATCACTGCCTGGTAGACAATCTATGTCTGTATCAACACCGTTGCCGTTCTCGCACCTTGGATTGAATGCAACCCACGTTCACGCACGTGGTGCCCAGCGAGCCGCGTTTGTCCACATACGTGACTTTCATGCCCAGCTGCAGCCGCATACCCCCTCGGGCCCGCCACTGATGACCACGAGGTCGTTCTCCTCGAGGCTTGTCGCCTCCAACTCAACGCCGTCTAACATGGAGCGCATGGCTCCGCGCATGGGAGGGTAGCACACGTGCGAGTGGCGCTTGCAAGTTGATGCGACAAAGGAAGTGGAACTAAAGCGGGGAAGCAAAGAAACAGCAGATCGCTAGTACAAAAAGGCTTGTTTCTTAAGATTACAGCTCCTACAAAAGAACAGAGATATAGATGCAAGGCAAGAATGGGAGGGGATCAAATCACTTGTTCAGAAGCATCACGGGGAGCTTTCAGCACTCCAAGCACTGCCCGCAATTCCCACCGGATGCTTCTGCACCTACGCGCCATGGAACGCACCCCCACCGTCTGGCGCAATGTTGGACGCCTCCGCCGACGCCACCGTCTAGTTCTTCAGCTACCAGACACTTGAGGTAAACAAGAACGACGAACGTGAAGGTACCATCTCACTAGGCAAACTTGCAAGTCTGATTTGTAATTACAGTACTGGAAATTGACCCGAGAAATTGCAGGTGAAACGGAATGCAAGATTCACCGACGAAGAGAACCATCCAATAGGTTGCATTACCTGAAAAGTTTGGGTTCGAATGGGAACTACCAGCACGATAACCTCGTCGAATTTGTTATGCGTCACATGTTTGTGCTAGCACAGACATACATACGTAGGCAATGCTGGACAGTGAAGTTAGGGCGTATCCAGGTTCGGGTCATGAGCACTGTTCCGGGCATGCGCGATTTGCGGATGCCTCAAACAACACAAAACACCACTTTGGGTCCTCGGTCTCTATGCGACCCCCAAACTGGCGCGAGGGTTTCCCCGCCTAAACTTCCGGCCCACCAACAGTCGCATCCAATGTACGCGTGCCATTCCATGACCCACGAACTCCCTCACCCGGTTGCGCGACACTCACCCCACATTCACATCCGTCAAAATTCCTGGCGGGAAAAGTCCCATGCAGATCTGCGCGGCTCCCAAACCCAACCCAACCACACACCCCTCCCTCACAACATACCCACGCTGGGGTTTCAGCACTTGGGAAATCACACAAAGCATCTGAAAGTAGATCTGGCACACAAATGTTCCCGAGCAACCACACCAGCCTGCTATCTACGGGGTTTCACGTGCCATAGTAAAGCAATGCTTCGACGCCAAAGCACACGCGGCAAGGGAAAGGAGAAAGTTAGCGACAATGAACCGCCGGAAGACCCCCCGTATGTCGCGTGGATGAAAGAGCAGCAAAAGCAGGGGAAGCCGTCCCCATCCATCAAGCGTCTTGCAAAGCCCATACGCGATTTTGCTGGTGCCAGCACTAGCCGCGGTCCCCGGCATGACGACACCGAGACAAGAGGCGACACGGACGTTAGCGACGACGAGCTCGAGGAGATCATGTCGGAATCTGAGAGTGATGCTGATTCCGATAGTACGAGATCTGAGCCTTGTTCAGCTAGGTAGTCAGTCGGCGGCGGCAGCGGTAGTCTTCGCAGTAGTCGGTGTCTCTTGTCTCCTTACCCTGTGGATGCGTAGGGGTTATGAAGCTGTTATTAAATGAGTAAAAGAAGCCTCATCAGTTTCGCGGGCCTCTATGTCAACGGCCTAGAAGATCGCACCAAACAGCAGCGCATTATAGACTGGTCAAGACAAGCAGCAGACATAGTAGCGCTATCAGACACTAGGCTAGCCTTAAACCACCCTTTCTAGTCACATCCTACCTTCAGTCTCGTAGCAGCAGCCACACCTAAGTCGAAAGCCACCGGAGTAGCCTTGCTCTATAGATCGCCTAGTCTCAGCTTCCACAACGTGTTAGTTCACTCTTCGGGTGGGTTCGTCTCGGCTGAGATCCATGGTTCCGGCCTGCAACTCACAGTCTTAGCTTGTTACCTTCCGGCAAAGGCGACCTCCTGTGCAACGTTTCTCCGCGACACGCTAGGTCCAGTAGTAGATCAACTCTCGCTGACAAGTCACCTGCTCATCATCGGCGATCTTAACATTATATAAGATCCGGTGTTAGATAAGTCATCATGTTTCGGATCTTCGGCAGAGAACGACAGACTCTACGCTCGCTGCATATAGTTCCAGCTCTCCGACGCTTTCCGGACACTATATTCGAAGAAGCGCGAGTTCACTTTCTTTTCGCAAGCTCAGCAAGCCAGTACGCGTATTGACCGCGCTCTCCTCTCTCATTCCCTCTTACCTCATCTGATTCAAGCGTGTCATGTGATGCCGGCTGACTATATTTCTGATCACGGTTTTGCTATCAGGGTTGCTCTTCGGTTGGACGCGAAGATCTGCATGGGCCCGGGCCTTTGGAGACTTCACGCGTCAATGGTGCACAAAAAGGGGGTGAGGAAGATAGTGGAGGCGACAGTGGAAAAGATTGAAGTCATAGACGGCATCAGCTTTGAACTCCTTCTGTCACGGTTTTCGGTGGGTCTTCGTGCCTTCGTGAGGGAGGAAGGCAAGCGTGTCAAGGCTACGGTGTCGCACCTCGTTAAGATTGTCGCGAAACTCCGTCAACAGGCAATGCGTAATCCGACCTGCAAGATGACCAGCGAGAAATTAGCGGCGATGGATCTGCAGCTGCGAGAATACCAGGCTTCACGCAAAGACAAGCTACATCTCATGTCGGGCATGCGGCTGGAGCTCAGAGGAGAAGTGGGGTCGCAACACCTGACGGCGATGGTACAGGCGAGGAAGGCGAGCACCCAAATCTCCGAGCTATAGACGACAAGCGGGCTTGTCTCGGACTCGCCGGGCATTCTCCGTGCAGCATCAATTTTTTCTCGGATAACTTCGGGAAGGACAAGTGTCAACTGGAGAAGAACTAGAAGCCTGAGAAGGGGAAAAAGCTGACACCCTGGGATGCGGCAGAGCTAGCAAAGGATTGGACGGAAGAGGAGGTTAAGAACGTGTTCAGTGTGATGGCGGCGAACAAATCCCCAAGGAAGGACGGGTTACCGAACGAGTTGTTCCAGGCCCACTGGGACCTACTAGGGAAGGGCTTCATGGCCCTAGCAAAGGTCTTTGCAACATCTGCAGTTCTCTCAACAGAGGTTAAAGAAGCGGTTATGATACTGCTTCACAAAAAAGGTGATAAAGACCAGTTGAACAACTACCGTCCTATCACGCTGCTCAACTTCACTTACAAGGTGCTGGCAAGGGTGGTTGCGGATCGGATGACGAAGGTGCTGTCCAAGGTTATCTCACCGGAGCAGTACGGCTTCTTGTTGGGTAGGCGGTTAACTGATGCACTTGGTCTGGTCGCTGACATCATCGATACGGCTCGCAACAACAATGAAGACTGGTTCCTTCTTTTGTTTGACTTCAGAAAAGCCTTTGACTCTGTCTCACGAGGATACCTCTTCCGGACGCTGCGATCGATGGTGTTTCCGGAGCGGTTAGTAAGTTGGGTGGAAGGCCTGCACAAGGGAACACAGGCGAGACTCTTAGTCAACGGCTGGATAGGAGTGGAAGTAGTGTCCGGAGTCAGACAAGGCTGCCCATTGGCTTCGTACCTCTTCCTCTGTGCAGTTGAACCGCTGGCACAGCTGGTCATCAAACGGAAGTTGGGAATCAGCAAGGCAGGGGAGCGCTTGGCGTACATCGGCCATGCAGACGACATCACTCTGATCCTGGAAGGGAAGGGGCAGCTGATCAGGGCAGAGCAGGTGCTAGAAAAGTTTGAATGGACGTCGGGCAAATCGGGAAAAAACAGTTGTCTTACCCTTGGGGAACAACCTCGGTCGGACGACAGGCCGGACGCACAGTTTTAGATGGGCGAAAGCGGATGTAGTGGAGAAGCTGCTTGAGGTATGGGTGAATCCCTCGAAGAGCTGTCAAGAGACGTGGGAAAAGACGGCAGAGGATATTTTGGGAAAGGTTAAGAAGTGGCAGCAGCAATACCTTCCCACGAAGGCAAGGACGGCGGTGGTCAACAACTATATAATGCCGAAAGCGGCGTTCCAAGCACAAGTTTATCCACCACCGGCAAAGCTCTGAGGGACAATTTCCAAGACCTTTCACAACTTTGTGTCTGCTAATCGAGCAACGGCGGACGGAGGTTTTATGCTTTGGATCAGGAAGATGCTGCATACTTCAAGGGAACTTGGCGGTGTTGGCGTACAGGATCACGGCTAGGAGGGTGGGGCTGCTAGCGTTGGAGACAAACTAGCTGAAGAAGCACCTCATGTCAAGGGCGGCGGACCTACCTATGGGTATTGAAACCTTCTTTGCTCATGAGAAGCTGCTGAAGCATTGGGAGGGGAAATGCGCACGGTGGAAGGTGGCGTGCGAAAATTTCATGAAGACGCCACTGGGCACCTTACCAGTGGCAAGCACACGAGCGGCAGTGGTCAGCGAGCAGATAGTTTTCAACAAAAGGATTCTGCTGAATAGCACTACGCCAGTCGGGGGACAAAAAGATGCCAAACCAGTCTGGGAGAAGCGGCTCGTGGATCTACTAAAGCTTGACAGTAGCGGCCTGCCTGCGCTCAAAGACCTGACTACGCTCGAGCGGGAGCTGGGAGGGAAGGGCCCAGCTAAGCTAGCGGTAAGGGCGTTTGAAGTTGCACCTACAAGGTGGAGAGGCCTGCTGCTCAGCACGCCCTCTCAGGGGGGGCAACCAACAAACGCGGCTGGGTCTCAGCAGGCGCATCGTTCTGCTGGGCACAGACTTAACGATTTCCCCATCTTTGCAAATGGGGGAGTTGCGCCATTGAAGCAGCTGAAGCTGTTATGGAGGGAGGGGCAGAAACCATCGGTGAAACAACCGAAATGGAAGGGAAGGTGGAACGGGCACATCGACTGGAAGAAAAAAGTTGATATCCGGGAATCACTCGCTACACCAAGCAGGCCGAGGGACGTTCTGCTGCGTATTCATAATCTCAACCTGTAGGTGGGAGAGCGGGTGGGGTTTCTGAGCAGCAAGCCGGTCTGCCCGCACTGTGGAGGGTGTGAAACCTCGAACATTGTTTATACAGTTGTCTGAAAATTCAGGTGGTGATCTCGGTGCTCCAGAAAACTCTCCGCATGATGAATGGCTCGCGCGCGGTGTCATCATTGGGGGATTTGCTGTTCCGGGAGGCAGGGGTCATCACGGCATTTCCAGAAGCCACGCTTACATCCATCACGCTGCACCAGCTTTGGTTGGAGCGATGTGATGCAGTCTTCAGAGGCACGAAATTTCGGGCGAGGAAGGTGCTCCGTCGGATTGAGACCGCTTTTCGGCTGCATGCACGAATCTACACAAGGGTGAGGGACGCCCAGTGGAGAAAGAGACAGGGCACGAGGTAGGAAGAAAAGTTCCGTCGCACGATGGAGGGCGAAAACAGTCTACTGTTTCGGATCAGGGACAAGAACCACAAGTCATGGACGTGGACGAAAGCTTTCAACTATATCTGGCTATCCCCCAGGATGACTCATCGGCCTCCTTAAATTTCGCAATTGGGGCGGCCACATGGCCCTCCTCATCCACAATAACAGTTACGACTGTTATTGTCTATGTATGCTTGGGTGTATCCAGGTTCGGGTAATAAGCACTGTTTAGTCTACTGTTTGGATCATCCGCATTTCTCGCATGACCCAAACTGGACTCTGGAAGCGCGTGCGGTTCGAACTTCGGGTCATCCTGCAACATGCGTGCGACTGTCACGCAAAGTGTGTCCCCCACCAATCAATGCCTTCTGCGACCCCATGTTGTGTCTCACCCTTTAGACGGACATCTTCTTTTGACTCACGCCCGTCAATGTCCCATATACACCACAAGCGTGTTCCACAATCATGTACAACTGACTTGACCAGTCTGGCTGATACAGGCCCCGAAACCACACCAATTGAAAGGACGCTCTAGGTGCAATGTTTACAAGCACAGGCGGCACCATAGCAAGCCGCCATACCACCGTCGCGCTCCCAATGTAGTGGGCGCTTTGAGGGCACGTTAAACCGCTCAAGTACGATATATGCAGCCCAACACAGGGTCAATCAGGTGGCCAGAAACCATGCTCACAACACAGGTCCTCATCCTCTGTATTGCTGTACACCTCTGGCATGAGTACCTTCTCAACACCTGGCAGCGTGGAATCTCTCTCGCCGCGTTAGAGTGGATATCCACAATCCTTCCCATGGCTCAGACAGAGGATGAGCAGCGCGTGCTCCGGGAAACGAGCACCGAGAGAGTCGGAAACGGCGTCGCCAGGCACGCCTCGAGGAATGGGTCGCTGAGATCCGCGCGATGTTTGATGAGGAATTCAAAGATACCTTCCGCATTATACATGAAGTCATCGACATCATCGCCAACAAGATGGCGTCTCCCATGTCTCGTTTTGTCAAAGTGAATGAGGTTCCCTTGTCGCTTTGCTGTCTCATCCTGATTAAGTATTTTGCAAGTGCTATGACATATCACGACATGAGTCTGATGTTTGGACTGCCCAGTGGACTCATCCACCGCCTAGTAGATGCCTTCCTGGTGTGGTTCCCCCGCAAGTTCAAGCGCGAATGGGTACAGTTCCCGGCGGAGGAAGTGAGAGAGGAGATGGCACTTGACTTTCGCGCAATCAAAGGCGTGCCCAATGGCATCGGGGCCATTGACAGGACACACATTGAGATCAAGGGCATGGAGGCCCACCGTGGCGACTATTACAACCGGAAGTCGGTCTACAGCGTGCAACTTCAAGTTACGTGTGATTCAAAAGGAGTGATTTGGGATTATATGGTAGAAAATCCTGGATCTATGCATGATGATGGTGTGTTCTCAACATCAGATCTACATGGCAGGCTAGAGAGCGGGGAAATCGCCCCATATCAGCTTGTGGGTGATGCTGCCTACCCTCTGAAGTCCTACATGCTCACACCCATCCACGCTCCACACGGACGCCTTGTGAAAAAGTGGGAGCAGACGTACAACTACGTCCAGTCGGCCACGCGCATGGTGGTCGAGCGCACGATTGGCGCACTCAAGAGACGCTGGAGGCTCTTCGCTCGCAGGCACGAGAGCAAGCTCTGGCGTGTCTGCGCAGGGACGGCCTGCATCATTATCCTGCACAATATGCTGCAAACCGTTAGCACACCCAGGATGAAGATAAACAACCCCCGTCGCTTTATATGGGCTGGAATACCGAACGGCTGGTAGACGAGGAGCAGCATGGGTAAGTACGAGTGGCGCAGCCTAGACAACCCTACTCTCGCCGACTTGCGCTCGCGCCGGCATCGCGCTTACCTCAGGCGTCATCCTGTGTCAAAGTCCACGCGCTAAGGCTCGGGGTGCTCCGCCACATCCTTGGACCCCGCCATGTCGGCGTCGCATGCGTCAGTCGGCTGTGCTGGAGGCGGCGTAGTCGAGGGCGCCGCAAGTGGTACGGGTGGACTGGCCATTTGCAGTCGGAAGCCAACCTGAATCGCCGCCATGTTCATAGCGACAACAAGAAGCTGCGTGGAGTCTTGTAGCTGGCGCAACGCCATGGCGTTGGTGGAGTTGATGGCGTCGGTCACAAGCTTCGCTGCTGTCATTGTTGCGGTTTCGTCTATCTGCCGTCGTTTCGGTGGTGGTGTGACACCGTCATCTGTAGGGGTGGGTGTTGGGAAGTTTAGCAATAAGGCGGCTTTGATATTTGTCGATTTGCTTGTCTGTGCAATATTGACATAATGCGTAATGAGGAAGATGGCATTAAGAGTGTTGATGGCAGCCTTCCAATGAGGCATTGATACATTAGAATCAGGTCATCTGGCAAATGGTGCACCTAATGAGGAACAACACACCTGGGGTTGCCGCTCCACATTGGTTACCGCGCACACATCCCTGGGATAGAGGAGCTGATGTCTCCCTGTCGTTGGTATCGGGCACGGTGGCGTACACAAGGATGTCAACGTTGGCGGCACCTCCTCCGTCAAGTGCGTGTGGTTTTGCCCTTGCGGAGTGTTTCTTGAGATGGTACACGTATTCCCACCATGGCTTCTTCTTGATTGCTTTCCCCCCGCTTTGCGTCTCCCCCCGTCTCGTTTTCAAGTACTTCTTCTCGAGACGTTTCCACGCGTTCGACATCTGCCTCTCATCGCGGTCCCACGTGGCATCCCTCTCAACCATGTGTGCTTGGAGCTTCTTCCAGTACTGGCTCCCTTGCTTCCCTTGCATCGCCTTTAGGTCGTCCTTCGTGTTCCATCGGGCAACCGCGAGAGATGACAGCTTAGCGTCCGACCATTGGCGCTTGATGCGCAGTGCCGGTGGGCGCTTCTCCTTCTTCGATCGGCGTGTGCTGCGCTCGTCGCCACTTCGTTCTTCGCCATCGTCCAAATCTTCCCCTTCGTCGTCACTGCCGACTTCCTGGTGATGTTGAGGCTGGCCTTTTCGAGGGAGGCACGGGTAGCTGATCCAAGCTGCTTCAGATGAATGAGATGATTGGCAGGCGTGATGTGGTCGGCCGCAGTCATGAAGCTCTTCCCTTTCTCTTTTCCACACCCCACTTGCGTGCAGATCCATACCTCGCAATTTCCACCCGTGGAGATCAGCACCATGGCCGGGTCCACCAGAATGGGTGTTATCAGCGGCGAGGCAGGCAGGGAGGCAGCTGCACGGTACAACTCGGAAGTTAGCACAAGCACAGATGCAATGGTGAGTATGATCATGAGAATAAAACCAGTAACCATTAATGCGGTGCACCTTGCCCAAGGTAAGATTCCATTTTCCAATGTTATTTTACCGGTCCGTGAGGAAGGCATCATGGTTGACATCGTAGTGCTGTCCACCACAGAGCAGACAAGACAACGCAGGGAAATGGACCAGGTACTGACGACCAAGATCCGATGGATCCTCGAAGACGTGACGCCAACGGTGCCTGCCACCCGGATGAGGAATCACCAGTCCCTTGATGACGTCCATATCAGCACCAGTGACTGAGTGCAGAACACGATGGAAGCAAACGCCATCCTTGAATGCGGACCGCTTCCTGTTCCGCAGCTGATAAACCACCATCAGCTCCCGCAGCATCTCCGGCGTCTTCGTCGCAGGTACGTCGCGGATCACCACCTCGATCGCCTGAGGATTTGTTGCACGTTCCCGCACAAAAGCGGGGTCATCAGTGTGTTGCCAGTAGAGTCGAAACACCATGCCGTTAGGACGCGTGTAGTCCACTTCCTTGATCCTGATGCTCATGATATCGCATTCGCGCAGACGGCAGTAACGAGTCTTTGCCAAGTATGCTGGAAGAAGTTCATGGAATTTCGCCGACTCGAAGGCTCTGTCGGAGAGCGAGGACGCCTAGACTCACTTCATCAGCGTCCGCACAGTGGTGATGATTGATGCCACTTCCAGCGCGAGAGCCACAGGTAACAGCAGAATCGTCGTGTATCGGACGCGGTGGAAAGCTTTTGTCTTGACCTTGACTTCAAGTTCTTCGTCAGAGTCGTCCTCAATAGAACCGCTGTCAGGAACAGTCATACGAAGAGAGCGTAGCTTCTCTTCCAGGGAGATGCCAGAGCCACTAGCAGGCGCGTCAGTGAGAGTCACATTGTTGGGGTCAACCACCGGTGCTTTGCCCTTGTCCTTGCTTGCAGGTGTGGAGGAAGCAGGAGTGGGCGATGGAGGAGGAGCATCAAGCAAAGCTGCTTCCGGCAGAACCTTGGCCTTACCCTTAGGAGGCATCTTGTGACAGTAGAGAGTAGAAAGCTGCAGAGTTGAAAACCAGGTTGAGGATGAAAGAGCTGATGCCCTTGCTCTGAGCTCAAGCCTGTTAAGTAGGCGAGTTCCATTGGTGCTGGACCATTGTTCTTGGCGATGATGGTGAGAAACCGAGGTCGAGGCCTTGGGATCATGGTTAGTAATAGACAAGACAAACCCAGTGTAGCCATTGTAGTTGTTAACATTGCGTAAAGCAAAGTTCTGAAACCTTGGAGTTAGCAGCAACCCAGAGAGAACCTTGGAGTTAGTTGCCTGACAGAAAACCAGATCTCGTTTAGCGAGTGATACGATGTCTGGCGTGTAGAAACAAAAATAGTATCGGTCGCTGCGCCTTGTAACGAGGAATCCAGATCCGTGGACTTTAAAGCCAACTAACACAGAACCTTCACGTGATCTGGGTTTGAAACTGCGCGGTAATATCTATGGTGGTCTCATGGCGTCTGTTGGATTCGACCAAAGTGGGGATCCTTGGATTCGCCCTTAGTGAACGGAAACGGTAAAATGAACCCTAGTTTTGTGTCAGCAGGTTCCAGCTGCTGTACGAATTCTGTCCGAGTTTCGCCCTTCGTGACCTTCACGAAGACGTCATTTCTCTGTTGCTATGCCATCACGATTTGCAAATCTGGGTCCACTCCTTGCTGGTGAGTAAGGGGTAACTTTTTCCGTTTCTATCCAATGTCCGGACGGAGCCCCAAAAACATCCGAACGGAGCTCTGTCCGGACGTTTGGGACTCAGGTCCGGACGACAGCTTGTCCGAACCACAAATGTGGATTTTTTTGCACTGTCGAAAACGGAATTTCGCCATGAAATGTACCACGCATTACAGCAGTCGTACATCACTCGTGATTTTCGCCACAAACCGAGCTACGGTATTGGGTGAGGTCGTCACCCACTTCGTGCGCCAATGACAATGCACCCAAAACGGACGGTCCGAAGTGCCGTTCGGACAGTGTCAGCAGGGTCGTCCGGACCACTTTTAAGCAGAAAAGTGTCAGCTTTGGTCCGGACGGTGACGACGTCGCAGAGGAGCTTCGAACTTAAAACATGGTGCGGAACGCCTCAGAACGGGACGAGTCGGGTCGGGACGGCTCTCAACCACTCAAAACCGTTTATGAAACAATTTGAACCAGTTTGCGACGCGATTGCGGGGCGTGCCAGTGCGTGCACGAAATTTGCGGTGAATCTCGTTACAAATCGTTTTTTAACGGTGCTGAATGGTCCCGACCTGACCCGTCCCGTTCCGAGGCGTTCCGCACCACGTCCTTACGAACAAACTGACGCGAGATTAGTAACCCTACAAAAGTCCGGACGGAGCCTCGGTCCGGACGATGGAAAGTGAAAAAGTTACGCGCCCTAAGGGCGCGTCATCTCCCTTGATAGATCGAGTCCATTGATCGATCGAGGGTATGCTACAGTGCAACAGTTTCATCCATGAATAGAGTACATAGAAACCAATACATTTCACTCCGAAATCCGGTAGTCGCTCGGTAGCGGCCTCGGTAGCGCTACCGGGCTTCGAGCTTCCTGCACGCGAGGGCCCGCGTGCTGCACTCGACCGCCCGGAACCGAGCACGCCAGCCTGTCCGGGGCAGGAAGTAGGCTGACGCAGCTCCGGCTCTTCGAGCTGGCTCGGGGACCGCATGACGCAGCACTGTCCCCGCGTGACGGGGACGGGGACCACCGGGCTCGCGAGCTTGCGAGGCCCGGCCCGGGCCTGCCGAGGCCCGGTTGGCCTCGCCAACACGCGCGCGAATGACCCGTTAATGCGGGGCACCCGGAAATAGGCACCCCGAGAAGCCACACCCACAGCCGGAATCTCTCTTCATGCATTTTGTGCTTCCGGTTTCCCAATGTTGTTTCCTTGAATTGAAAAACAACGCACGACACCTTCACGCGGGAGAAAAACCCTTGGGATGCGCACACGGCTGCAGCCCGCGAGAGAGTCGTAACCACCCTAACATTAAAGTATCGCGTTCTATCGTGTCTTTTCCTCTTTTTTTTTTGTATTGATCCTACAACGAGTATTGAATCTGCAACGAGTTGTTAAACGAAGCGTACGAAGGAGGGGGGAAATGTTACAGTGGACGCGTGGCACCCGTCCGATGCACCCCTGGGCCGACGGGCGTTGGGATGCTCCGAGCGAGGAACGGGGCAGGAGGGCCGGAGGAGGTATAGGAGGCCCTCTGAGTCTCATATTTGTGTTTTGTTTTGCGTTTCCATTGCGGTCCTTCTGTCTTTCCTCATCCCTCTCGGTCGGCTCTCTGCGCAGACCTTGATCTACGTCTCTGCTTTCGACGCTTTTGACAGTTGATTCGAGAACCGATGTGCACGGCTAGATTGTTGCACGCGGGTAGTCGGCCGCGGAATCGTTAGCAAGTACTTCCGACTTGCCTCGTTCTTGCATCTGCCTCATCGGTTTCCGCTGCGCGTCCTCAGTATCTCTCATCAACTCTCGTTACGGCTTTCGCGCTTGCTTTTCGCGCTTGTTTTTCAGTGCTGGTTTCTCACGTTCGTTACCGCGTGCGGTTTTCCTCCGTCGATATACGTGCATCTCATTCGTCTGTTTCCGCATCTTTCCGCATAATCTTGCTGTGTTTATGTTTCAGCACTTTCTCTTCCGCGTATCGATGTGAGTCGTTTAAACCCGTGGTACTGGCTGCGCGATGCTTTTCCGCGGAGCTTGTTTTCGCGTGTGTCTATCCTGATGGAATTTTCGCGTGCTCGCGTCGGTTTCCTTTTTTGCGCGTGCAGGATGCTTCACGAACGCATGAATCTCGTGGATCCCATGGAAGCTCTGAAGGGTCACAACGTTGTTATCGTGGCCGGTGGCGCATCTGTTAGTCTCGCGGGCGAGAACAAGGACATCTTGCTCAACGAGGACTTTGATTTTTCTGCGCCGTGCCTTGATTTCGCTTGCCTGTAAGTGCAATCTGTTGAATTTTTCCGCGCCATATTTTCGCGTTATCGCGGTTTCTGATACTTTTGTTCCATCCATCGTGGTTTCAACAGCAATGTGCTTGGGAGGCATCCTCCGCCCCTTGAACACAGTCCTCTCGTGTATACGCACGACGTCCTTGCACCGCTCCTAAAGAAGGACAGTATCGATGAGGACTTGCTCTGCAAATCCCTACTCGTGTTTCCTTTGTGGAGCAGGTGGGTGGATCGCTGGTAGTTTCTTTTTTATGCACACCGTCGTTGTTTTTTTCGCTAATTGTTCTTCACACTGTTGCGCGTGCAGTATGGACGATGGTACTTGTCATTGCAGCATCCTGCTCGTCATCCGCCCCGACGAACTCGTTTCGCCTGACGCGGAAAATTGCGGAACACGGGTTCTTCACATCGAGTCAGTTCCCGGCGAAGATAAACATTCAAAGCTGGCGGACGACGTGGTTGGGTGAGTTCCGTTCGTAGTAAAACTTGCTTCAACGCGGGGCTGTTCATATCTCGTATTGCGTTTTCCCGCAGGTGGTTCGCGAGGGTGGTTGCATCGGAGAAGTTGGAGCCGGATCTCAAGAAGCAAGTTCGGCAGCGGGCGCTGGCGCTCAGGCGAGAGCGGATGGTACGCTCTTGCTGCATATTTCCGCGTGTCCTCCCGTGGTCCTGCTCTTCGCCTCTGAAAGATGTTTTTCATCTACGTTTTTTCCGCAAGACCTCACCCATGTTAGCGATCCTAACGCCAAGTCCGGCATGATCGTCGTCTACGGGTTTCAACGCGTGCTGCAAGATTATGATTTTGCGTCGCGGAACCGTTCGGATGTCGTCCGTGCCCCGAAGACTAAGTCCCTGAAGTCTCTGAGGGACAGGATCGTCAAGCACGCGTGTGATCTGGCCGTCGAAATTGTTCTAGCGGAGCCCGCGTTGCACAAAACGGCTGGCGCTCGCTCAACGGCGCTTCACGCGCCCGCGGTGGACAGCGCTGCCGGTACGGTTGCAGACCCTGGCAAGGAGAACCCACCCGCGAGTAAGACACCCGATGGTGACAACGCGGAAAGGGACTCCGAGGCTGGGGGTGATTCATCCGCGGGAATCTTGAACAGGAAGGGTGATGACGCGGAAACCGAAAAGGAGCCTGGCGCGCTAACCGCGGAAAAGAACATCGCAGCTGACGACGTGGGCAAGGCCAGTCCACCCCGCGTAACCGAGAATCGGTTGGAGGTTGCTAGTGGCAGCAGTGGGAGATGGCCGAAAAAGAGCGGCAACCGCTCCGCCGAACAGCTCTCCAAGCTGCCGGCGCTCACGCTTGCGCACGCGTGAGCGTGCACGGTTTAGTTGAGACCTCTCTCAACCGTTTAATGCTAACTTCCGTGCTTTTTGATTGTGCCACAGGATGGTCAACATTTTCAAAAAATGTCGCGAACTTGTGGAAGCGGATTCGGACCACACTGTCCAGTCCGCATTATGTGCTACAGCTGGGCTAGAAGTCACGGACGATGATGGGAAAGTGAAAGGGAAAGCACAGAAGACGTTATTCGCCGCCACGGTCGCATTCGGGATCGCTGCTGTGTGGAGTCTTACCGCGGAATATACGCGCAGCAACACGGCAGGTGGTGCGAGATCGGCCTGGAAAGGAGTCGCCACGGAGGTTCGCCGTGCCGCGGTCACAAGTGGCTCCGCCGTGGCAAAGCTGTGTGGCGCCAGTGCGGATGAACTGGAGGGTTTGCAGGTGTGCTGGAGAGACGTGTACTCGGTCATCCGGAAGCGCCAAGGTGATCAGTTGGAGGCCGCGGCGAGCATCGAGAAGAAGGTGCTGAAGTTGTATGGGGAAGAGCTCGACATGACCGACAAGGTTGTCGTGCATCAGCTGGTCCAGGTCGTGGTCGCCTAGAACTACGATTCATCCGTGTTCCCGGCCACGAAAAGTGTGGGCCTTTACATGGAATGCCTGAAAATAAAAAGGGGACGCGTGGGAAGGGCAAGAATGGGGACGCGGGCGAGAAGGATGGGAAGAGCGAGAAGTATGAGAAGAAGGGCGAGGAGGCGGAGCACAGTGATGGAGAAGACGAGGATGACGATACGTTGATGGTGGAAGGATCGGAGGGCGGCAAGGATTTCGCCTGAAAGACCGCGGGATGCAAGTGGTCTTGGTGCTGTTTCGTTTACCGTGGATTTGGCTGCTAATGCCACTGTGTGATTTTCGTTCGTTTGGACACCGGTTTAGTGTTTCCGCGGGATCAGGGAGTCGTTGTGCGAAATGCTAGTTAGGACTTGTACAACTTTGTTGGAATGAATTTGTACAAAAAAAAACTCGTGAGCAAACCATCCCGCGAATGCAGAAAAGCCTATGCATACAAACCATCTAGCATGAAAAAATCTTCCGCTGGATATTCACGAAACTACTCCTGTCTAGAGCGCTTTTTCGACGCGGCCGCCGCTTTCTCAGCCTCAGCCTTTGCGTACTCTTTCCGTGCGTTGGGGAAGAGTCTCTTTGCCCACGCGGGTCCTTCGAGGCCTTTTTGCACCAGCAACAGTGCAGCCCGCAGATGAAGTTTCTTTTGGTCGCTCTTCATTAGATCCGCGAGCGTGCTGTCGCAGACAAGTGCTGTGCGCACAATGAGACTGCTCGTCAGCAGTGAGAACGACATGCCCGCGAGCTTCCCAACGACCGCATCCTCCCCTCCACTGTTCTCCCTAGCCGCGTACTCTGTCACCGCGTCCATCGCCCTTTTCACACGGTACATTCGCTGCTTTGTAGCGTCCTCGCTGGGCTCCTCCCCGCGGGCAAATCGCGCGATCCATCCACCGTCGGCTGAGTACTCCTGCCGCAGCGTTCTTTCCGCGGCCCCATGTGGCTGGTTCCACAAGGTCCAAGCAGACGCGATGTTTTTTGCTAGGCGCCAAGGTCTGATAATTTCAGCCTTAAATGCCTCGTCTTCCGCAAAAAGTGGGGGCGGAGCGCTCTCTTTCCCTTTTTTATCTTTGTCATTTGTTTCGGCCCACGGCGGTGTCTCTGTTTCCTTGTTCGTCACATTGGTATGTGAGCCGCCTTCCCCTCGCGCCCGTTGCTTCTTCAGCTCCTGTTGAAGCCGCTTGTTTTCGGTCTCGAGAGCCTCGCACCGGTCCACCAGCTTTGCGTTGGCTTCCTCCGCGGCTTTAAGCTTGACGAGGTCATTCCGTGGGCTGACTTTTCCCGGTTCAACTCCGCCTGAAGCTGTCTTGCGCGATGTTCCGCGTGGACGCGGACATTTATTTCCTGAGCGCACAACACGCAAGGCAAATAGAGTGTCAAAATGGGTCTAAAGCACGCGGGCCTCACGTGGATGAGACGCTCACAGCTTCGGTACAAGGTGTCGCTGTTGCTCGCAGAGCGCGACCGACCACGTCACGCCAAGCGACAACCCGCGCCCAATGTTGAAACTCGGGGTCCTCGCACAGTTTCGATGCTTGCACGTATGGATGGTTCCGATTGAGCTCGAACATCATCGCCAGATCCTCCGCCACGATAAGGCGACCCCATTCCTGCAGTTTCTCGAGCAGGTGTATGGCGCCCAGGTTACGCCGCCCACGTTCGATGCATGAATCGTTGTAGTCCCGCGCGTGAAACGACAGCGCGAGGAGATGGAGAATCAATTCAAAGCAGGAGCGGCAAATTCGTGCAGGGGTCGGAGAACTCAAACCCTCTTACCCTTTGTAGTTGCTCTTCAATCCACGGAAAAATGTGCTGTCTGATCGTGGTAAGTAGGCTCTTCGAGGGCGGAACCTTGGATCTCCCAATATGATAGTCCCCCTCGTCCCCTGTGAACCTTGCTGTTGCGAGCACCGCCTTTCTTGCCACGCCTGTCAGATAGTGGACTATCATTGGGTCTTTTTTCCAGTTGCCGTGCTTTTGAATTTCGTCGTCGTGAATCCCCATCATGCGGAGAATATTCGCGTTAGATGCACGCGGCCCATGTGTGATGCGCGAAATCTCGATTACCGCCTCCTTGTACGCGTGGACCACCCATCGGTGGTACGTGGCACCCGAAACTCGTTTCGTGTTCCCCCTTTTCAGCGACCAGAAAAGGTAGGCTTTGTGCCACTGTTTCGGGTCTCCGAAGTTCAGTTCCGGTGGCGGCAGCTGTTAATGTTCAGGAGCCATGTCATAGAGCCAGTGCAGCAGAAGGAGCATGTTCCCGACGGGGCAGAGGTTGTAGTCAATGTGCCGCGTGGAGTCGTGGCGTTGGAGACCAAAATGATGGTTTGTTTTTCCGCTTCGGCTGTTGATGGTCATCACCACTGCTTCGCGAATTGGATCATGTTCCGACACGGAACCTATTTCTTCGAAAGACAGGTCTGGTAGCTGAGCAGCGCGAATACTCCCCGCGCGGGACAAAGTGTGATGGCACGTGAGCAGCATGCCTTTTGTGAGAAGTGCTCTGTGGAGTTTCGTTGATGGCTCCGGATCCAAGGCTTTCCAGTTTTCTCTGCATCCGCGGGTAACGTCACTTGCATCATGTGGCGAAACTGGTCCAGGGTATACGTGTCATCGTGCCTTCCGCGGTGACGGTCGACGCATTCCCTGGGTCAGAGCACGAAAACCAAGATATCGTGAGGGTCTTGGTGGAAATGACATGAAGGATGATGGAATGTTTTCAACAATACTTACTCGACGAATCTCTCGAACTGCTGCGTCAACATGAGACGTTGAAGTACCCGGACCTGTGTCACTTCTTGCACAAGGCCCGGGTCGTCGAAAAGTGCAGCCTCCGCCCTGCACATTGCGTTTAGTCTGCGAAGCCGCGCCAAAAGCATCGGCACGGTCATCTTTATGCGCTTTCGGATGGGCCTGACAGGGTTTAGGCTCGCGAGCACGTCCGCCTGCTCTTGCGTTTCGGTTGTGCAGTACGCGACGAAGACCTTCAGCCGCCAGCTTGTGATGCGCGGGCCGTGCAACCAGCAGTCTTCTCTCTTCGTCATTTTCTCCCAGTCCGCCCCCAAGTCCCTTCCTAACGCGTGCCCCACCTCGTCGTGATGCTTTAGAAAGGCCTCCTAGGGAAGCTGTCCGTTTTGACGCAGCCTTTTCATTTCGTGGTACCACCACCTCTTGAATTCTCGGATAACAGAGTAATATTGCTCCCGAGTTGCCGGCGACAGGGACGAGAAAACGTCCCGGACAAAATCGATCTTCTCCTGCTTTGTCAGCCCTGCACGAAGTTGGGTCCAATCCGCGATAAGTCGCCCCCCCTCAATTTCGAGACCCGCGTCTGCTCGCTCGTCCGCTGCCATCTCCGCCCGAACCTCCGCCACATCCTCCGGTGAGACATCGTCGTCTGGTCTTCGAAATGACCGCGGCCTTTCACCCTCACCCTTCACGCGCGTTTACACGCCTTCTCCCCCGGGGCTGTTGCGGTGTGACTGCAGTTGGCACAAATCCCGCGTTTTCCGCTTGTCCCGGCACTTGGGCTTCTGTGCCCTGCGGTGCTCCTGTCGGATTGATGGTTGCGAACATGTTTGGCGCTCGCGGGCGCGCGTACGATGAAACAAAGCGAGGGAGAACGGGCATCGGTGCTCGATAATGCATAGGCTGTCCGGGGGAGGCAGGGCGGAGGTTTGGAGGAATTCCTGAGAACCTAGGTTGAAACGCATTGGCGGGCAAAAATGAACCCCACGCGAAAGCTGGCAGAAGTCGGAATTGGCAACTGCCACGTAATGCAGCCTGACCAACTGCTGCAATTGCTGCACTGTCCAAATCCGCTGCGCGCGGTGTGAACTCAGGCAATCCTGCTGGTCGGTTCCCAGGAATTCCTGCGGGTGGGTTCCCAGTGGTATCCTCTGGAGGGTTCCCTGGAACCCCCGCGGGTGGGTTAACAGGAACACTCGGTGGCGGGTTCTCTGGAAATCCCGCGGGAGGGTTTCCTAAGATTCTCGCGGATGGGTTCCCAGGAACACCCGCAGGTGGGTTCCCTGGAATTCTCGCGGAAGGGTTCCCAGGAATGCCCGCAGATGGGTTCCATGGAACACCCGTGGGTGGGTCTCCAAAAATTCCCGCGGATGGGTTCCATGGAATACCCGCTGGTGGGTACACTGGAATTCCCGCGGGAGGATTCCCAGGAATACCCGCGTATGGGTTCCATGGAACACCCGCGGGTGGGTTTCCTGGAATTTCTGCAGGTTGGTTCACATGAGTTTCCGCGGGAGGGTTCAACGGAATTCCCGCGGGTTGATTCCCCAGAGTCCCCGCGGAGGGGTTCCCATATATTCCTGAGCTCGGGTACACGGGATGGATGCCCGCAGTTGCTTCCGCGGAGATGTTCGGCTGTCACGGGCGATGCGCGTTCGGTGCGCGCGGTACGCTTGGTGCCCGTACACCGCGCTCACCCTCCGTCGGAGGGTGCATTGTTGCGTGGAACCAAGAGCAACGGTTACGGATGTGTCAGGTCTCTGGAGATCTGAAGGGACTTTAGCGAGGCAGAAGGTGTTGAACTAAAACGAGACTACTGGGGACGACTGGCGAAAAGTGAGCTCGGAACGGAGAAGTAGCTCGCGTTCCGTGGGTGACCCCTTGCGCCACGCAACGTCCATGGATTTCTAGAGTTTCCATCCTTGGGTACCCCGCGTTCCCGATTATAGTTACCATGGTCGCACAATGGAAACGAGACTCACTTTCGCGGGGACTCGAACTGACGAGCATCGCACTGCTTCGTGAGTGCTTCGCGGTCGAGTAATACGCGGCCACGCGTCTGCCCTATTTGGACTGTCTAGATGCCACGTGCAGACATATTGTTCCTTTCTGTTAAAGCTAATCGTCAACTGCCACGAAGCAAGGAAGGAAGTGAGTAGCCAGTGTAACATGGACACGAGAGCCTCCCCCGATGTCTTCCGCGTGAGAAATCGGGGGGAAAACGGCCAATCAACGTTCGCCGAGCGTCTGGTTACTGATACGTTTTCTAGGGTACGTTCCGTTCGGTAGCACTGGGACCACGCTACCGTCTGGCAACCGAACTCGGTAGTGCTACCGCCCCAGCCGCGCAGTTTCCCGCCCGAAAACGCTCCCGTCGCCTGCGCCCAACTACCCCCCTGTTATATATACCCCAGATTTCGACTACGCTAACAAATGTACAGTAAATGGTGCCCAATTCTGTACAGTAAATCTTGCGATCGGTGTTTCCGAACCGATTTTTACGGCGATCTCGCGATCGATTGAGGGAGGTGACGCGCCCGCAGAGAACTCGTACGTACCATGATACAGTACCACGCTAGTGCTGGACCACTACCACTAGCATCTCCCATTCCAGTGTAGTTTTATGCTATCCGTAAGCAGCAAGCAGCGAAGCACACACCGCCACTTCACCGCAAATCCTTCTTATCAGAGGGACAGTGGGGTGCTGGATCGATATTGGGTCCTTTTCTCAATCTTCCGTTCTTTCACCGCGGCCGCCAGTCGCGAGTTGCAAGATCCTACGGAAAGAGTGATAGGGGAGAGAGGATACGTTAGTGACATGGCCGGCGGGACTCGGCGAGCTGCAGCGACGAACGTGATCCTCTTAGATGACGAAGATGACGATAACGAGGATGGCAATAACGTGGATGGCGTTGACGAGGATGAGATTGACGTGGTGGAATGGCGGGGTGGCGTGAAGGAAACGCGACCGACGAGGGCGAGGGGAGCGGAGAAGCCGTCGGGAAATGATAGAGCGGCGAGACGAGTGCCAGGACGCCTGGCGAAGGGAAAGGGAAAGGTGGAGGAGGAGGTGGAGGAGGTAGAGGAGGATGAGTGCGTGGAAGTAGTATCAGGCGCGGGACGCGCTAAAAGCAGTCGCGCTACTAATGGATGCACTGATGCAGCAGGGAATGCGAAGAGAGGAACGAAGCGGGACCGGGAGGAAAGTGGTAAGAAAGGCCGAGATGGGAGAAAGGGCTAGCTTGTTGTGGTGCGTCCTTGAACATGGCTTCCGTCTGCCGCGTCTCCATGGCTCCCTACATCTTCCTCTCTCCGCCAATCTGTCTCGCCTCTTCCCCTCCCAAGTTTCCAGCCTCAATTCGCATCATTGCTTTTGCATTCTTTTAAAGCCCACGTCCATCGTTCGCCCCGCTCCTACCTTCATCGTCCGCTCCTTCATTGTCCCACAGGCGAACCTTCAAGGCAGCTTCCGCCCACGTCGGGGTTTCAAGCTCAGCGCATCCGGGCGGCGATGCAAGGCCGCGGGTGTCAGCCCATGGGCCGGCCGGCAGATTACGTCCCTTCCCTCCGCGCCGCCGCCCTCCTTCCTCCTCACAACAAAGCACCTCCTCCTCATGCCACCACCAACACCAGCAACAGCCAACAACGTGTTGGTGGTAGTGGTGGTGGTGGTGGTGGTGGTGCTGCTGCTGCTGCTGCTGCTGCTGCTGTTGCTGCTGCTGCTGCTGCTGCTGGTGGTGGTAGAGGTGGTGCCGCCTCTTCCTTTCTCACCAGCCAATGGGAGGCACGAAAGCTCAGCCTCGTTGGTGCTGATCCTGACACGCTGCAGTGCGATCTGAGCCGTCGGTCGGCCGGAGCTGCGCGCGATCATGCGGGAGGCAGCGATGGGGGTTTGGAGGCACTGTGGCGGGACATGGTGAGCGACGCTCCCGCACGCACTCGCGGGGATGCACGTCCACAAGCATGTGTACATGGCCATGCTGCTGAGGGGACTGGCGCTGGGAGCCGATTGGCTGCTGTTGGTCGAAGCCCCGCGTGCCGAGGCGGTGGTGATTATCCTGATAGGGGTGAGAAAGGCGGTGGTAGTGGTGATGAAGGTGCGAGAGACAGATGTTGTAGGGACGACAGAGGAGATAGAGGAGGAAGAGATGGATGGGGTGGGTCGGCGAAGGGTGTAATGAATGCAAAGGCAGCAGCAGAAAGGCCGTTGGGTAAAGTCGAGGTGCAGGGCAGAGCAATGCGAGGGAGGGAGGGTGGAGGGAGAGAGAGTGGAGGGAGAGAGAGTGGAGGGAGAGAGGGTGGAGGGAGAGAGGGTGGAGGGAGAGAGGGTGGAGGGAGAGAGGGTGGAGGGAGGGACGCTCATGGGAGATGCGGCAGACAGGGAGAGGTGCAACAGGCCAGGGATGAGCCCGAGGCACAGGCGCGTGGTGGAATGACGGAACCTGTTTCTGAGAAGCCTCGGAAAGAGCAGGAGGAGGAGGGTAGCAAGCGTGGGGCAGAAGTTGAGTCCCTGGGCAGGAAGCGCGATAGGGTTACCGGTGGAGGTGGGTCAGAACGGCCACATGTGTGTGATTCGACGGGTGAGGCTCTACTGGATAGAGCTTCGTTGAGGGATGCTGCTCGAGGGGATGTGATGGCAGGAGCGTCATTTGGGGGGCAGAGGCAATCGCAGGGAATGGGGGTTGGAAGGAGTAGAGGAGAAGTGGACGACGGAGGCGGTGAGGGAAGCGGTGGAAGAGGGATGGGTAGGAGAGGGGGTGCTGTACGAGGAGGCGTTGTGAGAGGGGGTTTAGTGAGAGGGGTTGGGGAGAGACGGGATGGGGAGAGAGACGGTAGTGGAAAGGACCCTTTTACGAGGAGCGGGGAGGAGAGTGGGGTGCAAGTGGCGAGCAGGCGTGGTGTGAGTGGGCGCGTGCAGAGCGGCGGGCTGTTGGAGATGTTTGGCGTGGCGGAGGTGGTGCCCTCCTCCAGCGCTGAGGCTTCTGAGGATGGGAGCAGCGAGGAGGATGGAGAGGAGGATGTGGTGGAGGTGGAGGTGGTGGGGGAGGAAGAGAAAGGAGAGGAAGAGGAAGAGGAAAATGAGGAGGAAGAGAAGGAGGAAGGGGAAGGTGAAGGGGGAGGGGAGAAGGTCAAAGGGGATGTGCGGGAAGAGAGAAAAGATGGAAGAAAGGGGGGTGACAGAGAGGAAAGTGGGTGCAGGAGTGCTGTGGTAAGGGAGGTGAAGGGCGGAAGCACGAAGAGAGAGCGGGCAATGCAGGAGGCACAGAGGCAATGGGGAATCTGGGAAGGGATGCGACAACAGCAGCCCCAGCAGCCCCAGCAGCAGCAGCGCACGGCATTTCTGCAAGCATGGGCTGCGCTGGGGCGCACGGCAGAACCTGCTGTCGTCGCACAGAGCGTACAGGAGTTCAGAGCGAGGAAACAGCAACCCACCGCCCTCCCGGCTGCGCCCTCAACGCCCCTCTCCACACCTGTGTCTCCTTCTGTGCCCCCAGCTTCCTCGCCTCCTCTTCCTCCTGCTCCCCCTGCTCCTCCTGCTCCCCCTGCCTCTTCCGCTGCTTCTGCTCCTCCTCCTCCTCCTGCTGCTTCTGCTTCTGCCTCTACTCCTGCCGCTGCTTCTTCAGTTGCTCCTCCCTTCACTGCCGCTGCTGGTACCCGTGCTCCTCCTCCTCACCCCCCTCCTGCTGTCGTCCCACGGGCTGCCGCCCCTCCTCCTCCACCTCCACCAGCGCAGAACCGCAGGAGGGCAGCGGCGCTGCTGGCAGCAGCGCAGAGGAAGTGGCTGGCGGAGTGCCAGCAGCAGTTTGAGGCGTTTGTGTTTCCGCCGATGGGCACGGACAGCGTGATGGTGCGGTGGGAGGATGTGGAGCGGCTGAAGCCAGAGGAATTCCTCAACGACACGCTCATTGACTTCTTCCTCAGGTGAGTGATTAGTTGGAGTCTGAGAGGGGTCGTTTTTCTACTAGTACCTGGCCTGGGCCCTGCGTCAACCCGGACCTGGTCAACCCGAACCTGGCCTGGGTCAACCCGAACCTGGCCTGGGTCAACCCGAACCTGGCCTGGGTCAACCCGAACCTGGCCTGGGTCAACCCGAACCTGCCCTGGGTCAACCCGGACCTGGCCTGGGTCAACCTGGTTCGTTCTCAGCCGGGGTCGGTTCTTTGTGTTCTGGCCTTGTGAAGAATCCATATCTTCACACTCTTTGACCCTCCCCTGAGGCTGATCCCCATCCCTCCCCCTTCCCCTCTCCTCCCCCTCTGCGAGCCTGCAGGCATCTGAAGATGCAGGGCCGCATGGCCTGCTCGCCTGCTGGGCCTGGCCATGCACTGATTTCTTCCCCAAACCCCCCATCCCCTCTGCCTTCCCTGCAGGCATCTGAAGGTGCAGGCTATGGAGCAGGGCCGCATCGCATGCTCCCTTGCTGCGCCCGACCAGGCACTGCCCCCACCACTGCCGCCAGCATCAGCAGGTGCACCTGTTGCTGGAGGGAAGGCAGATGGTGACAAGGCAGGTGGTGACAAGGCAGATGGTGACAAGGCAGATGGTGACAAGGCAGATGGTGACAAGGCAGGTGGTGACAAGGCAGATGGTGACAAGGCAGATGGTGACAAGGCAGGTGGTGACAAGGCAGGTGGTGACAAGGCAGGTGGTGACAAGGCAGGTGGTGACAAGGCAGGTGGTGACAAGGCAGGTGGTGAGAAGCAGGCGGATGGGGCAAGGCAGCCCCCTCCGTTGGTGCATTTCTTCAACAGCTTTTTCTTTAAGATGCTCATCGGTGGGGAGAAGGACGACCCCTTCCTTCCTCCCACCCGCGCCTCTGCTGCTGCCGCCACCCGCGCCGCTGCTGATGCTGTTGCTGCAGCGGCGGAGGCAGCGAAGGGGGGAAGTGGGGGGGAGGAGGGGAAGGCGGCGCACTGGCGGGTGCGCAAGTGGACCAAGGGGGTCAACCTCTTCGCCTGTGATTTCGTCTTCATCCCTGTCAACCTCAGGTGAGCCCTTTTTCTGTCATCGTGTGTGTGTTCCCTGGTTTTCCTGTGGGCCTCAGGTGGGTCTCCTGTGGGCCTCAGCTGAGTCTTGCGTAAGGCTCAGGAGGTGGGTCCTTCTTAATCCTCTTTGTTTCGCTCTTATTTTAGAAGCATTGATTAATCATGCATTATGTGAGGCTACGCCTAGAAGCTCTCAGCCATACATGTTGTGCAAAAGCATGCATAACAAGATGTGTTTTTTTGCTTAGCACAATCCATACGTTTTGGTGCTCCCTTTCCCCGCATGCACTATCTTCCCCGTGCCGTTCTCCGTTGCAGCTACCACTGGAGTCTGCTGGTCATCTGCCATCCCAACAAGATTCTTCCTTCTCCACCCCCAACATCAACAGCAGCAGAAGCAGCAGCAGTGCCACTGAGACCTGAATCACAGGCACAACCAGCAGCACCTTTGTTGCCAGTCGCTGCAGCAGCAGTAGCATCCTCAGCAGCCGCAGCAGCAGCTGTAGCAGCTGTTGCAGGACCAGCAACAGCAGCAGCAGCAGCAGAAGCAGCAGAAGCAGCAGCAGAAGCAGCAGCAGCAGCAGCAACTGTGCAGCGGCAACCCCCTCCGTCAACAATCACCCAGCCAGTACACTCGAAACCATCATCGCATCTACCCCAATCGCGGTCCCCACTTCAAGCTAACCCGTTAGAAGCGTCTCAGTTTGAAGATTCCCCTCTGCAAGATTACATCTCCACACAGAGCCCCCCACACTCACTCCAACATCTCCCTGCCTCTCCTCACCGCTCTAAACCGCCTCAAACGACATCCTCACACAATGCTCCAGTCTGCCCTCCCCCATCCGTCATCTCCCAATCGCCTCTCGCCCCTACCAGCCCCCACTCATCCCATGCCAGCCTCGATCCAGCCACTTCCGCCAGCCCCTACCCTCCACTCACCAGCCCTTTCCCTCCTCCTCCTGCCCACTCCCCACCACCGGCAAAACCTCCTGTTTCTCCCCAGCCCGCCTGTGCCGCTCCTGCTTCCTCATGCCCTATCGACGAGCCTATTCCATCCCCAGCCTGTGACCCCGCTCCCACGCGCTCCTCGCACTACCCTGCCCATGAGGCAGCGCCGTGCATTCTGCACTTTGACTCGCTGCCCGGGCTGCACCTGGACGTGGAGGAGGCTGTTCGCACGTGAGTTGGGGCGGGGGATGAATGGAGGGTTGTGGGGTGGGTGGGTTGGTGGTGCGCATGTGAGTTGGGCTGTGGAGGGGGGAGGTGGTGGCATGAAGAAAGAGTTGTTTGATAGGGGAAGGGTTATGCGGTGAGTTTCTCATAGTGAGAGGCCAACCTGGGGCAGGGAGGTGGACCTGGTTGGGTTGCGGGTGGGGGGGAATGCAGGGTTCGTCCGCCTGCTGTAAGCATTCTGCTATGCACGTTAACTCGCTGCTTTCTGCCACAGCTGTGTGTGCACATGCCCATGCGTGCATTGCATGTAGGGCGTGCATTGCATGTAGGGCGTGCATTGCATGTAGGGCGTGCAAAGTTGTGGGGCATGCAAGGAAAGGAGGCTCAAGGGCGAGCAAAGGAAGAAAGGATGATGACGGACAGAGGTTGGGGTGGGTTCGGGTGGGTGCATGGCTCTGTGTGCTGAAAGGCGCTGAGGTGAGGTGACTCGAAGCATTCCTCTCATTCACTGCATCACCATGCGACCCCACTCCCTCCCCTCCCTCCAGGTACCTCCACGAGGAGTTTCTCGTGCGCCACAGGGCGCTGAGCTGAGGTGACTCGATACATTCCAGTCCACTCACTGCATCCCTCACCACCCCCGTGTCACCCCTCACCATCCCATTCCACCACCAGGTACCTCCAGGAGGAGTACCTCGTGCGCCACAAGGTGCCCCTCACACCAGCTCTCAGAAAGGCCTTCATCCGCTTGCCTGTGTTTCGCCCCAAGGTAATGCCTGCGTTGTCATTCATACTGCAGCTCGCTTAGGGTCATTCGCCTCACTGCTCGAGTATTTGCCTCACTGCTCGAGTATCCGCCTCAATGCTCGAGTATTCGCCTCACTGCTCGAGTGTTCGCCTCACTGCTCGAGTATTCGCCTCACTGCTCGAGTGTTCGCCTCACTGCTCGAATATTCGCCTCACTGCTCGAGTGTTCGCCTCACTGCTCGAGTATTCGCCTCACTGCTCGAGTATTTGCCTCACTGCTCGAGTGTTCGCCTCACTGCTCGAGTATTCGCCTCACTGCTCGAGTATTCGCCTCACTGCTCGATCGCCTCACTGCTCGAGTGTTCGCCTCACTGCTCGAGTATTCGCCTCACTGCTCGAGTGTTCGCCTCACTGCTCGGGTATTCGCCTCACTGCTCGAGTGTTCGCCTCACTGCTCGAGTATTCGCCTCACTGCTCGAGTATTCGCCTCACTGCTCGAGTATTCGCCTCACTGCTCGAGTATTTGCCTCACTGCTCGAGTATTCGCCTCACTGCTCGGGTATTCGCCTCACTGCTCGAGTATTCGCCTCACTGCTCGATCGCCTCACTGCTCGAGTGTTCGCCTCACTGCTCGAGTATTCGCCTCACTGCTCGAGTGTTCGCCTCACTGCTCGGGTATTCGCCTCACTGCTCGAGTGTTCGCCTCACTGCTCGACTATTCGCCTCACTGCTCGAGTATTCGCCTCACTGCTCGAGTATTCGCCTCACTGCTCGAGGATTCGCCTCACTGCTCGAGTATTCGCCCCACTGCTCGAGTATTCGCCTCACTGCTCGAGTATCCGCCTCACTGCTCGAGTATTTGCCTCACTGCTCGAGTATTCGCCTCACTGCTCGAGTATTTGCCTCACTGCTCGAGTATTCGCCTCACTGCTCGAGTATTCGCCTCAATGCTCGAGTATTCGCCTCACTGCTCGAGTATTTGCCTCACTGCTCGAGTATTCGCCTCACTGCTCGAGTATTCGCTACACTGCTCGAGTGTTCGCCTCACTGCTCGAGTATTTGCCTCACTGCTCGAGTGTTCGCCTCACTGCTCGAGTATTCGCCTCACTGCTCGATCGCCTCACTGCTCGAGTATTCGCCTCACTGCTCGAGTATTCGCCTCACTGCTCGAGTGTTCGCCTCACTGCTCGAGTGTTCGCCTCACTGCTCGAGTGTCCTCTGTTCCCGGAGCAGCCGAATCTTTGATTATTCTCTTTCTCGTATGACCTTTGATATTTCTTTGAGGCTTCCTTTGATTTTTGCCTCCTCTTCCCCATGCGCAGGTCCCCCAGCAGCCGAATCTGAGTGACTGCGGGGTGTTCCTGCTGCTGTACGCACAGGAGCTGCTCTCCCACATGCCCCTCACCGTCTGCCGTGCGCCCGCCTGCCACCAGTGCAAGCAAGTGGTGAGTGCGCCTGCCACCAGTGCAAGCAAGTGGTGAGTGCGCCTGCCACCAGTGCAAGCAAGTGGTGAGTGCGCCTGCCACCAGTGCAAGCAAGTGGTGAGTGCGCCTGCCACCAGTGCAAGCAAGTGGTGAGTGCGCCTGCCACCAGTGCAAGCAAGTGGTGAGTGCGCCTGCCACCAGTGCAAGCAAGTGGTGAGTGCGCCTGCCACCAGTGCAAGCAAGTGGTGAGTGCGCCTGCCACCAGTGCAAGCAAGTGGTGAGTGCACCTGCCTTTGCCCTTGCTTCTTCCTGCTTGCTGCTGACACACTATTCCCATACCGACAGGAGATGTGTGGCGAGAAGGTAAGCATCTGGCAGTGCAGACGCCAGGTCCTGAGAGCGCAGGCATGTTGACAGTTAATCATGGCTTCTCTTTAGGCGCCTCAGGCTCAGGAATCAACCTTTTTGCCTCCTCTTCCCCATGCCTCCTCTTTTTCGCTGGGCGTGACTGTGCTGCTGCCATTGCTGCGTGATGGTTGGTTCGGACTCTGTAGTGTATGTGGTGCAGGCCGGGCCGCCATCCCGCAGCTCCTCTTCACTTTCTTCCTCGCTCACTCGGCCTGCACGTGCATGCAATCTACTGTTGCCCCCTTCGCACCTTCCGTGCTCACAACCAACCAGCTCACCCATAGCAGAACCCCCCCAGCCGACCCCAGTGAGTCACTGACCCTGCTTCCACTCTTCCTCCTCTCGCTTTTCTCTTTTCTCCCCCTCCCCCTCCTCCCCCCCAGCTGTCCTTCCCCTGGCTGACGCCCGAGTCAGCCAAGCCCATGCGGGCCGCCATCCGCCGCATGGTGCTGCTGCGAGCCGGGCTGGCAGAGCTGGTGGCGCGCGAACCCATGCGGCACCCAGGTTCCCCGGTGCGCGAGGAGGCCGTGAGGGGGAGGGAACCCCAGAGAGCGGAGGCCATGGTGGGGAGGGAGATGGAGGGGGGGAGGAAGGAGGTGAGGGAGTGGCAAAGGGATGGAGGGGAGAAGGAGACGCAGAGGGAGAGGGAAGGAAAGGAGGAGGAGGGGAGGGAGCGTGGGGTGGGCCGAGTTGGAGGAATGGTAGGGCTGTTGGCGAGGGAGATAAGCAGTGTGGCGGGGCAAAGGGGGAGAGGGCAGGCTGCGGATGGGTGTGCGGCAAGACGGGAAGAGGGGCAGAGAAAAAGAGCACACGACGAGGATGAGGAGCAGAAGAGAGATGAGAATCGGCGTGTGACTCGAAGCCGCAGCATGCATGCAATCATGTCAAGCCAGGAGGGACGCCTCTTGGTCATTGCGCTGCCTCACGCGGGAGGAGGAGGCCCTTGCAAGGAGAGCCGGGGCGGTGGGAAGAGAGAGCGGCGCCTGAGGGAGGTGTTAGAGGAGGGTGCGGAGGAGGGGGGGGGGGGGGAGGGGGATGTGGTGGAGGTGAAGGCGGGGAAAAGAGGCCGGGTGGAGTTGGTGGGGAATGGCGGACGGGCGCTGGCGGATGGGTGTGGGGAAGACGAGAGGGACGAGCTTAGCGGAAGGCGCCGTCGAAGTTTGGTTTCGTCGTGGCTGGATGAGGTGGACATGGAAGACGCGATGGGGGCGATGGGGGAGGCGATGGGGGAGGGGAGAGGAGGGGAGGGAGAAGAGGTGGAGAAGGGAAGGGAGGGAGGGGAGGAGGAGAACGTAGGGAAAGGGGGAGTGGAGGTAATAGGAGGAAAGGGAGGGGAGGAGGGAGAAGAAGGAAAGGTATGGGAGGAGGGAAGAGGGAAAGAAAGAGGGGTGGAGAAAGGAGGGAAGGGAGGGGAGAGGATAGTGAAACAGAATGATGAGAAGAACGAAGAGGGGATAGACAAGAGGACTCAGTGGAAGGCGGGAAGGGAGGCGGATAAGGAGGCGGTGGTGGAAGTGAAAGGGTGCTTGCGGAGTGAGGGGGAGGCAGGGAGGAGATGCGAGGGTCAGAGGGGGGAGGGCAGAAGGAAGGTGGAGGGGGTTCGAATGGAAGAGAAGAGGGAAGAGGGGAAGGGGGGTGGACAGAAGAGGTGTGTGAAGGAAGTGAGTGACGGAGAGGTGGAGGAGGTGGGAATTGTAGAGGAAAGAGGAGATACGGAACTGAGGAAGAACGTACAAGAAGTATGTGGAGAGGGGGAGGAAGTGAAGGGGAGAGGGCGTATGGAAGAGGTGGGGTTGAGGGATGGCAAGCAGGAGCGGGTGGCAGGGGGGCATGGCATCGAGGAGGAGATGGGGGAGGAGGGAGGACAACAAGTGACGGGCGAGGCGCAGGGAGAAAGCGGCAGATGGAAGGAGTCAGGTGGAGTTCGAGTTGATGCAGGGCATGAGCTGGCACATTATGTGTTGATGAGTGATTCACCCGATGATGATGATGATGCTGCTGCTCTCCCGGCTGTTGCTCCTCCTGCTGCTGCTGCTGCTGCTGCTGCTGCTGCTGCTGCTGCGTCGGCGGCTGCTGCGTCGGCTGCTACTGCTGCTGACGATGACAGTGATGGTAATGACGCTGCTGCTAGCAAGTCGTGTGGTGGCAGCGGTGTGATTGCTTACAAGCGCTGTGGTGAGCTGGGGGACGAACACGCTGCTGCCAGCAACATTCATGGTGTTGTAACAAGGAAGCATGGTCGGGGTGGCAAGGCATGTGGCGGTGGTGTGCCTGCCACGAGTGCTGCTCAGGGCTCTCAGGTTGCTGCTACAGCTGCAGCTGGTGGTGTTAGACATGCCATTAGAGACGCAACGGTCGATGTGATTAGGCTTGTTGCCCCGAATGCACCCATGGATGCACCCATGGATGCTGTTACTCATGCCGATACAGATGCTGCGTCATGTGCCGCTGCAGGTGGTCCTACAGGTGATGCTACATATGCTGCTTCAGGCACCGCTACATGTACCACTACAGGTGCGGCTGCAGCAAAAGGAGCAAGCAGCAATGCTGAAGCAGTGACTTCCGCTGCTGCTACCGACAGAGGGGAAGGGAGGAGAGAAGGGAAGAGTGAAGGGATGAGAGGAGGGAGGAGAGAGGGGACAAAAGAAGGGGCCAGAGACAGGACCAGAGAAGGGACGAGAGAAAGGACGAGAGAAGGGACGAGAGAAGGGACGAGAGAAGGGACGAGAGAAGGGACGAGAGAAGGGACGAGAGAAGGGACGAGAGAAGGGGTGAGAGAAGGGGCGAGAGAAGGGACGAGAGAATGGACGAGAGAAAGAAGGAGAGTAGGGAAACGGTTGAAGATTCATCAAGAGGCAGATCAAGCAGGAAGGGAGGAAGAGGAACCAGAGGGGAAGAAGCAAAAGGAAGAGGAGGGAGAAAAGAGGGAAGAGGAGGAGGGTATGGCAGGTGCAGCTTGCGGCACTGACTCACTGCTGGCACAGTGTTCAGCTGATAAGGGCGATGGGGTGGAGGGGGGAGAGGGAGGGGAAGAGGGTGATGGGGAAAGTGAGTGCGGGCACGGGGGTGGAGGGGTGTGTGGGAGCAGTGAGGGCGGTAAGTGGGCTGATGCAGCTGTGGTTTGCATCAGCGACTCTCCCGAGGAGCAGGCGGAGGAGGAGGGGGGGGAGCAGGAGGAGCAGGAGGAGGAGGGAAAGGAGGACGAAAAGGAGGATGGGAAGGAGGGGGGGAAGGAGGAGGAGCAGGAGGAGCAGGAGGAGCAGGAGGAGCAGGAGGAGGAGGAGGAGGAGGAGGAGGAGGAGGAGGAGGAGGAGGAGGAGGAGGAGGAGGAGGAGGAGGAGGAGGAGGAGGAGGAGGAGCAGGAGGAGCAGGAGGAGGAGGAGGAGGAGGAGGAGGAGGAGGAGGAGGAGGAGGAGGAGGAGGAGGAGGAGGAGGAGGAGGAGGAGGAGGAGGAGGAGGAGGAGGAGGAGGGGAAGGGGGAGGAGAAGGGGGCGAAGGCAAAGGGTGGTGGCGGTAGGGATCGGCAGGGTGGAAGGGACATGTGGGGCGACCTGGACTTGCGCAGTGGCTTGGACTCCGCCACTGGGCTGCTGTCCTCGCTGCAGAAAGGGGCGGCGCGGCTGGTGGGTGGGTGCTTGGAGGAGTCGCGGGGTGCACGCTGTGCGAGAGGTGGTAATTCTCTCAGTGCACCCACGCACACACCCACCCACACACCCACCCACACACCCACCCACACACCCACCCACACACCCACTCACACACCCACCCACACGCCCACCCACACGCCCACCCACACACCCACTGGAACACGGTGCCGGGTAGAATTGCAGAGGGGAGTGCGGAAGAGGGTAGAACGGCCAGAGGAGAAGGTTGGAGGTAGAGGGAGGCACCAAGGCCCACTTGAGGTACCTGAGGCACCACCTGAGGTACCTGAGGCACCACCTGAGGTACCTGAGGCACTGGAGGCGCCGGGGGGACCTAGGGGAACAAGCATGGAGAGGAAAGAGGGACACGTGGAGGAGGATGGGAAGGGTAGCAGGCAGGGAAGGCGGAAAAGAGGAAGGAACGAGGTTTTGAGGGGAGTGGGAAGGGCAGGAGGACGAGCTAAGGGGCGGGCAGGGGGGCGGGGGTAGAGTGCAGGAAGGAGACGAGGATGTGGGAGGCGGTGGAGTGGTGAAGAGTGCGAAGGTGAGTGGAGGGCGTGGTGGGAAGCAGGGAGATGAGGATTGTGGTGTGGTGGGCTGCGAGGGGCCGAGGGACGACGGTGTGAGAGAGGATGGAGCGAGGGAGGGAAACAGGTGTGGAGAATATTGGTGGAGGGGAGGAGGAGGATGAGATGGAAGTGGAGGCAGTGGGAAGGGATGGGATTGTTGAGGTGCGAACATGGAAAGCAGGTGGAGGGAAGGCGGATGAGATGGGATTAAGGAAAGTGGAACAGGAGGTGGAGGGAGAAAAGGGGAAGAGGGAGAGGTGGAAGGGCAGAGAGCGGGAGAGGGCGGATGTGCGGGAGGTGGTGAGGGGGGTGGGTGCAGCAGAAATGAAGGGGGCGCCATGTTGCTTGGCAGGGCAGCTTGGGACAGGAGTGGGTGGCATGCACGCAGGAGAGGAGGGCAGTGATGTGGGTGTGGTGGATCGGGGGAGTGGAGCAAGCGTGGGGGAGGAATCGGAGGAAGAGGAAGGCGAAGTGAGAGAGAGCCAAGAAGTGGAGGAGGTTGAAGAAGTGGGGGCAGAGGAAGAGGGTGGAGGGGAGAGTGCCCAAGAGGAGGAGGAAGAAGCAGCGGACGATGAGGAGAGGGGGCAAGGGGATGAAGGGAGGGAAGAGGAGGACAAGGAGAAGGGAGAGGAGGGAGAGGAGAGAGGGGAAAGTTCCCAAGAGGAGGAGGAAGAAGTTGGTTTTGAGACGTCCCAAAACCAACTGGTTATCACGTCAGGGGAAGAGGAGGGACAGGAGAGTGCCCAAGAGGAGGAAGAAGAAGAGGACGATGAGGAAATAGGGGGACGGGACGAGGGTAGGGAAGAGGAAAGCAAGGAGGAGAAGGAAGAGGAGGGAGAGAAGGGAGCGAAGGGAGAGAACGGAGAGAAGAGACGGATGGGAGTGAAAAGAAGAGGGAGAAGAGGGTCGCTGGAGGGTGGCAAGGAGAGCAAGTGTGTGGTTCAATGTGGGGCTGACAATGGGCAGGCAAAGCACAAGGAGGCGTCACACAGGCAGGTGAGGGCGGTGGAGCGGCGGCACTGCCACCATGCTGATGGGGCTCGCATGCAGGGGATGCAGGGGATGCAGGCAGGTGCACGTGGGGCAAGGCAGGCCGTGTGCCGAGGAGGAGAGGCAGCGGGAGGGGAGAAAGAAGAGGGAGGAGAGGAGGAAGAGGAAGACAAGGAGGTGAAGTCAAGTGGAGATGTGGTGGAGGTTGCAGGGACGCATGCCATCAGCCTCAGCAGTAGCAGTGACGGCAATGGTGAGCGCGAGGGGCGTGAGGAGAGTGAGGGGAGTGAGCAGGGAGTGAAGAGTCACGAGATCAGGGAGGAGCACGGCAGCAGCAGCAGCTCTGACGCCGAATCTTCGAGGGATGAACGGAGGGTGCGGGACGACAGGAGGTGTAGGGTGGTGGAAGGGAGGGAGGCAGAGGGTAGAAGTGGCGGGGAGGAAGGGAGGCATACGACAAGTCCAAAGGAGAGGTGGAGACGTGAGAAGAGGGGCAAAGGCGTGGCAGCAGGAGATATTGCCAAGCGGAGAAAGGTGCAACAATTACAGCAGCAGCAGTAGTTGAGGGAGAGGGAGCTCAGGGACAGGCAGGGAAGGGGAAAGCGTGTACTTTCACAGGGGAGGTCGCATCAGCTCGTGTCACCTCCTCAATTCAATCCCCTTCACTTGTAACCTTTGGCATGCAGTCACTCTCTCTTCAATCACCTGCGCCTGTGCTTGTGTCACACCATGTACAGTCACATGTACCCAATGATCACCCCTCTCAACCCCCTCACCCCTTCCACCCTCCTCACCCATCTCACTCTGCTCAACCTCCGCATCGCCCTAACCCTGCTGCTGCTACATCGGAGCCGCGGCGGTCCTCACGGGTGAGCAAGCGGGACGAGCAGAAGCAGCAGCGGCTGGCAGAGAGGCAGCGAGAGATGGGAGAGGATGTGAGAAAGCGGCTGGACGACCTGCTGGAGCCAGAGAGTGAGTGAGAGAATGAGGGAGAGAGTGAGAGGGAGAGCGAGAGTGAGTGAGAGAGAGAGACAGTGAGTGAGAGTGAGAAGGAGAGTGGGTGAGAGAGAGAGAGGAGAGAGAGAGAGAGAGAGAGAGAGAGAGAGAGAGAGAGAGAGAGAGAGAGAGAGAGGAGAGAGAGAGAGAGAGAGTGGGAGAGAAAGAGAGGTGGAGTTTTTTATGACCTCACACGACCAAGATTGAATCTTGCTTGCAAAGGCAGCAGCAGATCCATTTCTCACGCAGCTGTTTCTCGAGTATACTTTCCTTTCCTACACCATGTCCTGGTGGCACAATGCATGACCGTGACCATGAAATCGTTTGCAAGGGCAAGGTGCAGAGTGCATGTCAGATTCCCCCCCTCTTTTTTTTTTTTTTTTGCGTGAGGTGCTCTGGGAAACATCAGATTTTCGTAAATGGGAACATCCACTTCAGCTTCTCTTGGGTTGTATACGCATGTCGTTTGCATAGATTAGGCCCGTTTTAGGAAAAGGGGGAGCGAGCATCGAAATTGTTGGAGGCAAATGGGAAGAGATATTTTTCAGTATGAAAAGGAAGTGTTTATAGCAGAAGCTTCTGAATCAAGATCATAGATCCAAAGTCCAGTATTCAATCCCTTGTACCTCATCAATGGTCGTGTCTGTTGGAAACAATGACTTAAGCGCCTCTGTCGTGTCGAAACAATAAACGCGCACAAACGGAGCAAGCAACAGCGCAGCAACAGCGAGTCAACCATCGGAAGTTGACAAGGAACGGTAACCGCTGGAGGTTACGCGAAGGTCAAAGGTCACGCGACCTTTGACTCGACAAGTACAGTGCGACAGCAAGGACAAACAGCTGATTCGTTATTGAACAGCTGCCCGAGTCGTCACTGTATCGAACCGCAACAACAACAGCAAAACGGTTACCGTATCAGTTATATTTCCTGTATTCTTATAAAAGGCCTTGTATCTCCTTGCTTTAATCAATCTACTTTGCTCTCACACACTAGTGCAAGGTGGTTCAACTGTCTCATTAAAAGGCTTCCGCTACTACAACAAGTCCTACCTAGAGTTCAGTCCTGTAAAGGTTCCTAAGGGCTTTTCTCAGCCCAACAGTGTCATCCATTTGTATTGAACCGTCATACCCCGGATAGAAGCGCCCCTGGGGTTATAAAAAAACACTGTTTTTTAGGGGGTGGGCTTATAATTGAGGATTTTTATAAGCGCCGGGGCTTATATAATGACATATATGAAATCTAGTTTTTTTACACCAAAGTGTTCATGTCGTCCTTGCGATTTGAATCGAGTCAATATTGTAGAGGGCAATGAATGTGAATTTCGCGTGAATTGGCAGTGGCTGATTCCATGCCAACACACACAGTCAGAATGAGTCAGATTGACCCCATGACAGCTCATTCTGACTGGACGCGAAGGCATTGAGTCGCGCGAGGGTGAAGGGATTCGAAATTCTGAATGTGGGATTGCAAAGTTGTGTTTCGTTACAACATTTCTAGTAAAAATATAAGAAAACATTACAAAGGGTGGCGCTTATAATCCGTAAGCCTTCAGGGGTGCGCTTATAATCGAGGACCGGATATAAGCGCCCTCATCCTTTTATAAGCGCCGGCGCTTATCATAGGCATGCGCTTCTATCCGGGGCCTTACGGTATGGATATTATATAAATATATTTTGGTAATTGATTTATACATTGAGTATACAAATGTATACACCAAAAATTGCCGTAACTGTGCATGAAAGATGGCCATCGTGGCCACCTCAGCTGCGGTCTGTGATTCGTTCTTGGGAGCTGCCAGATGGCAGCAAAGGAGCTGTTCCACTTCCACGTCTTGCTATCGTTGTCCTCCAGTGTCCTCAGCAGTCTTATCTCCTCTTCCCTTGCGCGCTGAAACCTCCCATTCGCATCCAGGCCTCCCCTCTTTCTCCATTGGTCCTCCATCGCCCTCGTCTAAACCCTTGCATGTTGGCGGAAAGCAACTTCGATCCTTCTCGGTACACGTCTCGCCCTGAACTTTTTCCCCCTGAAGACTGCATCACAGCGCTCCACCCACAGCTGGTGCAGCGTGATGGCCGTTATTTTCGCTTCTGGAAAGGCTGAGCTGGAGCTTGCCTTACGAAAGAGGAGGTCCCCCAATGATGCAACCGTCCTTGAGGCATTGATCATTCGAAGTGCCCACTTCAGCGCCGACGTCACCGTTTGTATTTTGGGGCAACTGTAGAGGCAGTGCTCCAAAGTCTCCTCCCCCTTGCAGTATGGACACTTTGGTTTGCCACTTAAAAACGACACGCGCTCTCCTACTTGCAGGTTGAGGTTGTATAGCCGCAGCAAAACGTCCCTCGGTCTGCTCGGGGTAACCGAGGACTCTCTCACGGATATCACCCTTTTCCAGTTGATCTTTCCCTTCCACCTTTCTGCCCACAGCTGTTGCTTTGCTGACGCTTTCTACCCCTTCTCCCACAGTCCCTTTAGCTGCCGCATCGGCACAACCTTCCCGTTGTAAAAAATTAGGAGGGTGGTGTAATCCTGCCTAGGGGGGATGTACCTCTGCTGGTGTGAGCCAGATGAGGTTGGGTTTGGTGGCTCTCTGTGGGAGTTGTCAAGCAGCATAGCATGCCATCGAGCAGGTGCGGCTTCGAAGGCCTTCAGAGCAAGCCTAACATGCCCTTTCCCCCCCAACTCCCTCGACAGCGACTCCATATCTCTCAGCTCCGGGACTCACTCTTTGTCGTAGTTGATTAGGTGCTCCAACCTCAGCTCCCAAAGCGGCTTCGCATCTTTCTGGCCTCCCACCGGCGTTGTCCCTTTGAGAAGGATTCGCCTGTTAAACACCGCTTCCCGAGTGTCAGCCTCCGGCAGGGTCCTCAGCGGTGTTTTCATGAAGCTCTCACATGCTATCTGTCAACGAGAGTTTTGTGTTGGCCCCGTCCTCGTTTGGGCGGAGCCGACTTTGTTGTCGGGTGTGCGGGGAGCGCATCCGACCCACTACACTGGGGGACGCCGCCTGGGCGCCTGGACGCCGACCTGGGCGTCTGGACAGCGTCCTGGGCGTCTGGACGCTGACCTGGGCGTCCGGACGGCGTCTTGGACGTCTGGACGCCGACATGGGCGTCTTGACGCCGACCTGGGCGTCTAGACCGCGTCCTGGGCGTCTGGACGCCGGCCTGGGCGTCTAGACGCCGACCAAGGCGTCTGGACTCCGGTTTGGGCGCCTGGACGCCGGCCTGGGCGTTTGGACGCCGACCTGGGCGTCCTGGTTGCCCGGTCGAGCAAGTTACACGAGCGGAGGTGCGCGACGGTCGCCCAGGTGTTCTTGGCGAAGCCGACCTCGGTGTGGTATCCCGAGGTCGACGTGGAGGATCAGGTGCAGACGTGGGCACGTGGTCGGCGTTGTCAACGGGAGTTGTGTGTTGGCCCCGTCCTCGCTTGGGCGGAGCCGACTTCGTGGTCGGGTGTAGGGGTGCAGCCGACCTGCAGCAGTGGGCGAGCTGGTCAACGAGGAAGTCGACCTGCACGGGTGCCACTGCATGGGCGCCGACTTCAGGATGGCGCCGACTTCAGGAAGGTCGACCTGGGAAGTCGACCTGCGGAGGGCGTCGACTTGGTGACGCCAACTTGGGGTAGCCGACTTGGGTGGTCGGCTGACAGAACTTCTGGTCGACCTGGTTGGTCGACCAGGCCTTCTGGTCGACCTGGTTGGTCGACCAAGCCTTCTGGTCGACCTGGTAAGTCGACCAGGCCTTCTGGTCGACCTGGTAAGTCGACCAGGCCTTCTGGTCGACCTGGTTGGTCGACCAAGCCGAGAAGGCAGCTCGTCAGGCGAGCAGTGGGAAAGGGTTGAGCGACAGGGAGATCCCCGCCGTGAAAACGGCAACAGTTGGTGCCGGCAGAACCGGCCAGGGAATGAATGCCGAGGTAGCAGAGGCGTCATCGCTTCCCCATCAGCCTCCCGCGGGTGGCCGCCCCCCGACTGGCCCTTCTGCCGCCAAGGGCAACGTGCCACCCCCTGCTGACGTCCCTTCTGCCGCCAAGATCGGTGTGAATCCTTCTGCGGCTGGACGCGCGGGGCAAGGGGCGAGGGCTGCGAAAGCACTCAAAGACCAGCTCAAGCTCCTTGCGAGCCACAAGGCTGTGCAACAGCCTCCTCCCCCTTGTCGATACCACACGTCGCTCTGCTGACCCCATCGGCGCTGTGCCATCGTCTAGTGTGCCACGTGTAGTGCCGGCCGTCGCCGCTCGTACTCCCGCCGACCCTAAAGTCCGCTTTGCTGCGCGCCCAGTTGGCCTCACGACGAGCGACAGCGTCAGCCCCAACTCAGCCGGCTGCTGGCTCTAGCGCGATGCCGACATTGGGGAGTGTTGCAGCACCCACTCCCGTGGCAGCTGATGTCGACAAAGCGGCGGAGAAGGGTGTGCGTGCTGCGCTTGCCACCAGCGGCGGCCCTGCTGATGAGGTCGTCCACAATGCGGATATCGCTACCATCCAGGCCCACCTGGATGCTGCCAAACGCACCGGGCAACCCCCAACACTGGCCATCTCGGACACGGCACATGTGGAGCCCGGCGGTTCAATGGAGCCAAAGACGACCACTGATGCTGACGGCGAGGGAAAGTTGCAACGAAAGGGGAAGGCTGACGCAGGGGAAGGGAAGGCGAGGACAACATGCGCGACATCGGCGGCGAGAGGGAAAGAGAAGGCGGCGGAGAATATGGAGGAGGAGTCGGTCGGCGAGGGTAAGTCGGCGAAGAAAGGGAAGGAGACGGCGACGGAGGAGAAGGCGGCGGCGAATATGGAGGAGAAGTCGGAGGGCGAGGGTAAGGGTGCGAAGAAAGGGAAGGAGAAAGCGAGGGAGAAAGAGAAGGAGAAGGCTGCTGAGAAGGAGAAGGAGATGCAGAAAGAACGGAGGGGTCACGGCATCCGCCACGACAGCTCGGGCGACGGCCAAGGATGGGTGGGCGAGATTAAGCTGGTCGGCGCTAATCGATACATCGTCAAGTCGCGCGACAAGATGGGGCTGGCGTACCTGCACTCGATTGCTTACATCGTCTACGACGGTTTTGTAAGCAAGGTCCTCATGGACGAGCTCGCCGTCTTGGAGGAAGCCGAGTTGGAGCGGTGGAGGAAGGTGTGGGAGGAGGTCCGGATCTTGCCGACAGGGATGTGGACGGCGATATGGGCCCGTGGGGCATACCTTCCAAAGACTCGGTAAGTTGGATACCCTTCGGCCGAGCGATGGTGAGGAAGTCGGAGTCACTAATGATCTCTTCCGTTTGATGTCTTCGTGACAGGGTCGACGACATTCTCGGCAAATATCGAGAGTACAAGAGCTCAGGCGATGCGCTCCACGACGCGCTCTTACCGGCGATCTGGTTTTCCATCGATGCCGATACAAAAGAAGGCCAGGAGAAGTCGGATGCTATGATGTCGGCCTTGATCGGCCGCGTGTCCATGTGCGCGGCGTTTGGGAAGGTAGCTGCGAGCGTGGCGAGGAAGGCGGGAGACACGGATGAGATGACGGAGATGGGGGCACAGGCGTTAGCGGCCTCCGATTGCACCGTCTGGTGCTTTGTCGAGTACGACGACGCCCAGGTGCTCGGTGCTGTGGGCGAAGGGAAGGCGGCGGCGATGGTGGCCGGTGCGAGCGAGTCGACCGCCGATGTATTCAAGAAGGTCATACAAGCGGTTTTGGACGCCGAGATCAACAGGGAGCGACCCCTAGGGGAGGTTGCTCACAACGTCGCGCCGGCGCTGCAGAATCTCGCCCTGCAAAGGGTCTATCCGGGTGGAAATACCGACGTCGATGCCGAGGTGATCGCTAGAGCGTCGGTAGAGACACTGGCGTTTTGGGGAATGTGCCCCGTCGCCGCGCCGAAGCTCGAAGAGATCGGCATCCCGGTGCCATGTGACGCGCAGATGGAGTACGATCTTGACCACAGGGGGAGGAAGGGGCAGAGGGGCAAGCATGGCAAGGACAGCACGGGGAAGAAGGAGAAGAAGGGCAAGAAGGGCAATGACAGCACGGCGGCGTAGTCGGCGGCGTCGCTTTCGTATTCCAATTGTCGGATACTTTGCTAGGTGGTGTGCTTGCTGTGGTGTAGTGCTGTTTTGATCGGCGTCGCATTCGTATTTCACTTTTCGGATCGCTTCGGGCTTTTACGTTGTGCGAGTGTACATTTTCTGGTGTGCGAGATTGTCGATTCTACGTGAGTTCCAAGAACATACCACAAGAATAATGTAAGAACAGAAAACGCATACGACACGGCCATTCACGTTCGCTATTTAGGTCGATCACATAAAAACGGCGGGCCAACACCACTTTAGAACAGGGGGTCTATGCTGCATCGACATCATATACAACATGCAACACCCCACAGTAACATCCTCCGAGACCGGTCACGCGGTCTTCTTACGCTTAGCCGGCGCCTTGGTCGGAGGCCGCTGCCCAACGGCGTTCTCCTTGGCCAAGTCGGCCACCGTCGTCGCCATCTGCTCCTCCCAGGTGTCTGGAAACAGGTCGCCGACCCATTTTTGCGGCTTAAGCCCGCGAGCCACAAACGCACACGCGACACGGAGCTTAAAGGCTTCCAACTTGCCGAGCCCCTTGACGCCCTTACCCGACTCCTTGGAGTAAGTCGGCAAGGTGTCCGCGTTGAGCACAGTGAGGGCGTCGGAGAAGATCCAAATGCCCGGCGCCGCGATCTTGTTAAGAGTGTCGACGCAGGCTTCTGTGTCGGCCTCGCCGTCGCTGCAGCGAAGAAGGCGCACTGCATCTATGACCTTCATCATGCGTCGCACCCTCTTCCCGAGTGCTCCCTGTGTCGCGCCAGCGAGGAGGGTGTGGCGGTCGACGAATCCCGGCTCTGTGAACCTGTCGCACAGACGGCGGGTGTCCTCGGCGCTGGTGCACGAGGTCCAGAGGCGCCACGCGTCCCTCACGGTCGTTGCCTCCCGCCAAGGTTGCACCATGTTGAGCTCGTAACGAGCCTCCTCGACCGTCTGTGGGGGTTTCGGGGGTTTTTCATCCCGCCTCTTGGCTCCGCCCCCCGTGTTGGCCGAATCCGCGGAGCCACCTCCGCTCGGCGATTGCTCGGTCGCCGCTGGCGGCGCCTCCGGCATCCTCCGTGCTTCTGAGACGCGGAGTGCCTCAGTGAGACGGGTGATCTCGGCTATCAGCGTGGCAATCGTCGCGTCGCGCTTCTCGACCTCCTCCTCGAGGTTGATCTTCTCGACTGCGGAGCGCTCCCTCTCGTACTTCAGCGTCTCGGTGAGGGACATGACCGTGTACTGGGCGTCATGACGGACAGATATCTCCTGCAATGGTCGGCGAATGACGAAGTAAGTTCGGGGTTGTAGTGTTGACTAGATTAAGGCCGACGTCGACTTGCGTAATGACTTATCTTTGGCTCAATGAGGGTCGGGTCTCGCCGCTTTTTTATCATCTCGGTGTCGATTTTCTCGACCATTTTCGCCCAGTACTGGAAGAGGGGAATCTAGCAGAGCTTGGAACATTGGACGTACGAGTGCCAAGGGGCGCGGACAAGTTTCACTGCGAGGTCCTCGGCGACGATGCGGCGCATCATCTAGAGGGTACGCCAGAAATGCACGGCGGCAATGTCGGCGTCGGACCCTAAACCCTTGGCAGCCAGTTCTTCCGCCTGCAGTTTGACAAGTGAAATCGGCTTGTCGGCCGTTACTACGACGCCGATTAACATACCTTTTTTCAGCAGGTCATCGACGCCGGGGAAGATGTGCTTGGCGATGATGTCCTTGAGTTCGTTGGAGGGTTCATGCGGGCTGCGACCCAAGAAGTAGTCCTGCTTGGCACCCGAGTAGCCGACCTTCTTCATCACCACGCCGACGGGAATGGCTGTGATGTACGCTCGAATCATCTTGTCGATCGCCCAGTGACCCAGCTCGGCTATCTCGCGCAAGACGTACCGTCGATGGCCAGCTCCTGCGCCCTACCTGCTCGCGCGGCGTGCACGTTCCGCTTGCAGAACACATTATTCTTCTTCCACATCTGCCTCGTCCACCGTTGGTGGCTGGCAGGGGGGAGCTCTTCTTGCTCCTTGTCGTTGCGAGCGTAGAAGAGGTGCTTCTTGTACCAGCGCTCGCGTGTGCTGGTGTCCAGCGGCGGAATGAGGGGGACGCCGTGAAACTGGCCAATCTGGTCGAGTATGAAGTGCAACCACAGCCCGGTTTCGCCGACGGCGCACAACTCCGCCTCCAAATGTCTCGCGGCATAGCTTTGCTAAAGGCGGGCATCCTTGGACGTCTTCGAGTGCGCGGCGATGACCATGACGACCGGCTGGTTCTCCGGATTCACCGACGACGTGCTCGCCAGTCAGTACAAGAAAATGTCGGGGAGTGTGATCTCGCAGATGCTGGCACCGCGCAGGAGACTATGGTGGGAGAGTAGCATGAGCACCTTGACGAGTAGGAACCTCCACAGCGTCTGCGAAATTTGGCGGCGTTTTTCGTCCGCTGAGCTATATCATGCTATGATGCCCAGCTCCTTCTCCTTGTACTGCGTCGCCTCCACCCTCGCCGCCATCTGGCAGGCCTTGATGCGGCCAAGGATCATGTGCACCGTGTTAGCTGGCACCGGCGCGTTCGTCTCGGCATCGATCTTGTACTCTCGCCTCATGAACTTGACGTAGGCGCGCAGCCACGTCTCAGTGACCCGCGGACCGTGCAGCCAGATGTACTTCCGGGGGACCACCTCCTCGTTGTCCCAATCCTTGCTCTTGTTTCAGTGGATCCAGTGCTCGATCTCGTCGACGTGTCTCATTCGTTGCTCCGCAGGAAGCTTGTCGCGTAATTCCTTGAGCATCTTAGCCGTCCACCTCTTGTAGTGGTAGATCCACGATGTGTAAATCTTGAGCATGCTTCTACCCTCCAGGGTTTACGATGCACGCGTAAACCATGTCTTCCTCAACGAAGTCGGCGGCCTTCCACTGTTCGCGAGGCACCACAGTGTTCTGCAGATCCTCGAGCGCGTCCTCGTCCAACAGTTCCTCTATGAACGCACGTTCCCCCCTCAGACGTTCCTCCAACGTGCGCGGACCTGTGCCACGACGGGGCCGCGGATCGTTCGTCGTCCTCGTCGCTGTCCGATGACTCGTACTCATCATCCTGGTCGCCCGCTCCGTCCGGCAACGACGACTGTCCGGCCTCGCCGGCATTCGTCGATGCCGACGTCTTGCGTGGCGTCGTAAACTCGCCAATGGGCGGGGGCGGAATGTCCTTAGTAAGCTCTCCTTCCGAGATTTCTGTTAGGGCATCGAGATTATAAAGCAGCGGCAGCGTTGACGAACGGTTACTGGTCGGTGTACGGTCTACCGATCGGCCAGCATCCCCATGGCAAGCAGGGGGGGGAACGTCTGTCATGTCGACGTCGGCCATGTAATTTTTTATCGAGCGGTCTACCGTGAACCCTGTGCGTGGAACGTGGCGGACCAATGCAGGCGGTACTGAGTCCCGTTGGCGGTGTTTATCCTATGAGCTTTGCGGGCGTCAAGCTCGAATTCCCTCGCGAGTGCCTCTAACAACCTCCGCCAGTTCCAGTTGCGCTTTAATGTCGGCGTCGACCGTATCGGAAGGGGGTGGGTTGGATTGGGGCTGTGTCACGCTAGGCTGTCCTTTGGCCATGCGACGTCGACCTAGGGAGGGGAAATGGGAAATCGGCATGGTTGGTCGATATACTATGACCTGCTAAGTCGATGCTCTAAACGATAAACAACAATGTGTCGAATTAGTCGCTCTGGCTACCGTGGTGACACCGACGACAACTTGTGGTCGGCGGCCGATTCTGCTACACGCGTGAACGTAGAAAGTGAGGAGGGAAAACTAAGAGCCAGATAGAGGAAGGAACGAACACGGAGTAGCATGCAGAAAGAGCGACCCTCACTGTGGACACGGATGGGTATGGTCGTGAGCGACTTCGCACCTGTTGCGCTCCACGCAAACCCCTGTGCAGGTCGCCGCTATGCGTGTACCCTCGTGCGGCGGCGCCGTGTCCGACGTGCCACAAGCCATGCATGGCTGTTGGCTAGCCGCGCTTCGCCCATTGAGGGCTATGCATGGCTGTGACACGCTGGCTGCGTGCGCTACGTGGCGTGGACCCAAACGTGGCGCCTGGCTCCTGGAATACCGTGATGGAAGGGCGCAAGGCAGTGTCGCGTGGCAATTCGACGCCGAAATGCTCATTGCCAGGAGATTCGTTGCATCTAGACGGTGAATTTGGACGGTCGGATGCCGCGTTTAGCCTCTGTCGGCAACCGTGGGATAGAGGCCGCGTGGTACGCACCGACCACATTTCGTTCTGGCGCGAGTTTTTCCCGCTCAAAGCACCTCGCCCCTATGTGTGCCATCATGGCAGCCTCGGTGGCCTCGTCAAGTTGGGGACGATCTCGGACGTCCCTTCGAGGCCGCGTGGCGACAATCGCGTCCCGATGTGCCGAGCTGTGATTTTGCCACGCGCTGAGATATACTTCTCGGGAATGTCTCAGCGGAAACCTAGGTCGTCAGGTCGTCGTCAATCCCGAGGGCTCACGAGCACTGAGCCCTGCCAGTTTGCCAAAGCTTTCCACGCGGAGGTCGTCGGGCGTTTGTCAACCCCGAGGAGGGGCGTTGTCCTTTCCCTACCGCGAATTGGGCGGCGTTTTTCGTCCGTTGAGCTATATCATGCTATGATGCCCAACTCCTTCTCCTTGTACAGCGTCGCCTCCACCCTCGCCGCCATCTGGCAGGCCTTGATGCGGCCAAGGATCATGTGCACCATGTTTGCTGGCACCGGTGCGTTCGTCTCGGCATCGATCTTGTACTCTCGCCTCATGAACTTGACGTAGGCGCGCAGCCGCGTCTCAGTGACCCACGGACCGTGCAGCCAGATGTACTTCCGGGGGACCACCTTCTCGTTGTCCCAATCCTTGCTCTTGTTACAATGGATCAAGTGCCCGATCTCGTCGACGTGCCTCATTCGTTGCTCCGCAGGAAGCTTGTTGCGTAATTCCTTGAGCATCTTAGCCGCCCACCTCTTGTAGTGGTAGATCCACGATGTGTAAAGCTTGAGCGTGCTTCTACCCTCCAGGGTTTTTAGGTGGCGCATTGCTTCCATCACAAGTACGTCGATGCACGCGTAAACCATGTCTTCCTCAACGAAGTCGGCGGCCTTCCACTGTTCGCGAGGCACCGCAGTGTTCAGCAGATCCTCAAGCTCGTCCTCGTCCAACAGTTCCTCCATGAACACACGTTCCCCCCTTAGACGTTCCTCCAACGTGCACGGACATGTGCCACGACGGGGCCGCGGGTCGTCTTCGTCGTCCTCGTCGCTGTCCGATGACTCGTACTCATCATCCTAGTCGCCCGCTCCTTCCGGCAATGACGACGGTCCGGCCTCGTCGGCATTCGTCGGTGCCGACGTCTTGCGTGGCGTCGTAAACTCGCCAATGAGCGGGGGCGGAATGTCCTTACTGAACTCTCCTTCCGGGATTTCTGTTAGGGCATCGAGATTATAAAGCAGCGGCAGCATTGACGAACGTTTACTGCTCGGTGTACGGTCTACCGATCGGCGAGCATCCCCATGGCAAGTAGGGGGGTGAACGTCTGTCATATCGACGTCGGCCATGTAATTCTTTATCGAGCGGTCTACTGTGAACCCTGTACGTGGAACATGGCGGACCAATGCAGGCGGTACTGAGTCCCGTTGGCGGTGTTTATCCTATGAGCTTCGCGGGCGTCAAGCTCGAATTCCCTCGCGAGTGCCTCTAACTCGGCGACAACCTCCGCCAGTTCCAGTTGCGCTTTAATGTTGGCGTCGACCGTATCGGAAGGGGGTGGGTTGGATTGAGGCTGTATCACGCTAGGCTGTCCTTTGGTCATGCGACGTCGACCTATGGAGGGGAAATGGGAAATCGGCGTGGTCGGTCGATATATACTATGACCTGCTAAGTCGATGCTCTAAACGATGAACAACAACGTATCGAATCGGTCGCTCTAGCTACTGTGGCGACACCGACGACAACTTGTGGTCGGCGGCCGATTCTGCTACACCCGTGAAGGTAGAAAGTGAGGAGGGAAAACTAAGAGCCAGATAGAGGAAGGAACGAACACGG